TGGTGCCCTGACAGGATCATTGCTTGGGTGGCCCAGTCCTTGTGGAAGGCAGCAAGCTGAGGGGACTTCTCCTTAACTTGTGTAATGGTAAGTAAGAGTTCTACAGGTGGATAATGACTTACCTGCTTGTAGATTGTTGAGAGGAGGGCAGGAGGGTGTTTGGTGATGTTCCTTGTGACGTCGAGGTTGTGCTGGATACAAGCTTCACATACATGTTGCTGGAGTTTATTTAGGTTAGCATATGCTGTACATAGAATCAGTAAATAACATACTTTCATGTTGTTGAAAAGCTCCTTTTGTTCTTTAAGGCCCATGGCCTCTATGAGCCTATACCCATTCCATTTCTCCCCATGCCCAGCCTGTCCCAGAGGCTTTGGAATGAGGGTGGAGACAGCCTCATCTTCTTTCTTCTTCTTGCTCCTCTCACATTTGAGGAGCTTTGTGAGTTTAGCTATCTGGGCTGCACATATATCAGTAAGTGTCTGCTTGATGAAAAGAAACTCACCTTGAGCAGCAAGTGCCTTGGCCTTCTCAGCCAAGATTTCCTGATCCTTCACTGCCAGCTTCTCCTTGAGGGTGACAGACTTCTTCATTGCCTTCATGAGGTCCACTGTGTTGTCAATGTGCTTGCCAGGGAGTTGCTTGGGATGCTTGGGAGCACTGGGGCTTGTGTTTGACTCCTCAGAGGGCCTCTTCTGGCCAGATGCTGGAGTCTGCATGACACTCACAGGCTGCAGAGTGTCAGTGGCAGGGGAAGGGCAAGGAGAGGAGACCAGAGTCGTCACAGAGAGAGGAGCAGGGGAAGGGGGAGCAGGAGGGTTAAAGTCGAGGGAGGAGAGCAAGTTGTCTGAGGGGGGAGCAGGAGGAGAAGCATGAGGAGGAGGGGGAGTAGCAGGGGCAGGAGGGGGAGCAGGAGGGGGAGCAGGAGGGGGGAGACACCTGGGCTTCTTGGGCTGGGGCTTGCGGGGAGCCATGGTGGTTGAGGAGAGAGGGAGACAAGGGGGAGAAGGGGGGGAAATGCATTGACATGCATGGATATATACGTTTAGATAGTGTACCTATGAAAATACGTCAGTGGGGCTGAAATGAGCATGTGGGGGAACCAAAGAGAGTGAAACAGGATGTTGACTTACCCAATTTGGACTTTAGAGGATCCAAATCAGGAAACTCACCTTGGGAGCATACACACAGCTCTCCCTCTCACTCTCTCCTACTCCTCAACATGCCCAAAGAACTGCCAGTCCTCTGTGATTGCAGGTGTGGTCAGCTGGTGGCAGGGTTGACTTGGCATAAGCACAGAAAGCACAACAAGAGACATGCCCTGAAGAAGCTTGTCAGTCAGCAAGAGGCAAGCCTGAAGAAAGAAGTACACAAACAGCATGTCCACAGCTTCCTCAGATGCTTCTGCAAGAAGAAAAAGCCCTCCCTGGACCTCCAGATGGAGGTTGAGATCAAGGAGATGGAGCCCCAAGTTGACGACATGGAGTTGGACATCCCACCAGTGCTGGAGGCAAGTTTGACATTGCTGAAGCCCCAGGATGTTGACTGGGAGATGCCAGAGGTAGTGGAGGGAGAGGAGGTGGCCATGGAAGAGGAGGAGGAAGAGGAGAAGGGGAAGGAGGTTGTTGTGGAGGATGAGGACAAGGACAAGGATGAGGTGGAGGAGGAGCTAGAGGACTTCAGCAATCAGTTTGGGCTCAAATGGCAAATGATACCTGGTGAGTATTGGTCTTCCTGAGTAAGACCAAGCTCACAAGTGCCAGAGGAACTATCTGCTAGAGATCAGAAGAGATTCAAGGCATTTCATACCTTACAATTGCTCAGTACAAAGTTCTCCAAAATGCTTCTCCAGAAGTCTTCCCACCCCTCTCCAAAGTCCTTTGGCATGTTAACTTTGTATCTGCTATCAAGACTGTTAGCTATGACTGCTGCGTCAGCTCCTGTGTGGCTTACACAGGAGTTCTTGCTGAAGAGACTGTTTGCCCACACTACAGCGAGCCCCATTTGAAGCCCAATGGCCAGGCTCATTGTCAGTATGCATACCTGCCTCTTATCCCTCAGCTACAGGCACAGTATGCTCAAGAAGACCGAGCAAAGCTGCTGACCTTGTATCAAGGTTGGCAGAATGCAAATGCACCTACCATTACCAATATCTTCCAAGGTTGACTCTATTGAGATCTATGTGAATGCTATATCAAAGTCAGTGGGAAGACTCTGACAACAAAATACTTTGACTCACCTAGAGATCTTGCTCTGGGCTTGTTGACAGATGGGTTTGCCCCATTCAAAGGCCCTTGATCAACTGCCTGGCCAACAATTATTTTCAACTATAATCTCCCCCCAACAATTCAAACTCACCTGGCCAATATCCTCTCCATTGGATGCATCCCCAGGCCAAAGCAAATGAAGGACATGGATAGCTATCACTATCCATTAGTGGAAGAGCTCTTTAAACTGGCCTATGGAGTGAAAACTTATGATGCTCACAAGAAGGAGTTCTTCCCCCTTTGTGCACACTTAATCCTGCTCTTCAGGGACATGCCTGCTGTAGCCAAATTAATGAACATGAAGGGGCACAATGGCCTCCTCCCCTGCAGAATGTGTAAGATCACTGCAGTGCATGGCCCAGAAGGGAGGGGAAGCTATGTACCTCTCAACAGAGCTTGTTTCCCCCTCCAGGAAGGCCAGCAGCCATCCTATGACCCCCTCAACCTCCCCCTATGTGAGCATGCTTCTATGCTTCACAAGGCTGAGCAAGTTTTGAATGCTGCAACCAATGCAGAGTCAAATTGCCTTGCTAGGGACTCTGGGATTAAGGGGGTTAGTATCTGGAGGCATCTGGGAAGCATAGTATGGCCCACCTCATTTCCCCTTGACTTCATGCATCTCATCTTCAAGAATATTGCCCCCCTCCTCCTTGAACTCTGGATAGGAGAGCATCCTCTCTGCAAGGAGGATGCTGCATTTGTAATCCCTGCTCACATTCAGTCAGCAATCACATCACAAGTGGGAGGGACAACCATACCTGGAGCCTTTGGACGCCAAGTCCTCCATCTCCTCCTCAAGCAGCATGAGTTCACTGCAGAGGCATGGATGCTGTGGCTCTCCCAGCTGGCTCCTGTGGTAATGTCAGGAAGATTCAAAGGGAGAGCTTACTATACTCACCTGGTAAAGTTCTCCCACTATGTCACCCAATGCCTGGCCTTCTCCTACCCTCCAGGCTTCATAGGTGAACTTCGGAAAGCCTTGGCCAAATGGGTGGTCAAATACAAGTGCCTATACTCGAAAGGTGACCCAGCACTTGCTGGACTGTCCCCAGTGACAGTCCACTCAGTTCTTCACCTCGCAGACTGTGTGGACAACACTGGGTCACTCTGGGCATACTGGGCTTTCCCTATGGAAAGATTCTGCAGGAAAGTTCAGCATATGATTACAGGAAGACTCAATCCTTACCCAGGGATTGACTGGTGCATCCTCCAGTGCTGTCAATGGGAAATCTTGCATCTGAAGTTCCCATTGCAGCTCAGGGATGTGGGGAGGAGGAGGGAGACAAGGGGTGAGGAGGAGGAGGAGGAGGGGGGGGGTGAAGAGAAGGAGGAGGATGAAGAGGGGAAGCTGCTACCCCCAAAGACTGCATTGATGATCAGCCAAGCTCTACATGATAAGTTGGTGCCTTACCTTGCTGCCCAGCTGAGCATAGGGCACCCCACTATACAACAAGCTCTTCCCAAGCAAGTTGTACAATGGGGCAAGCTTCAACTGTCTCACTGAGGCAACACAGTCCACGCTGCCCTAGGCATGCAAAGTTCCCAGGTGAGGGATATGACCTATGTTAGGGTAAGTAAATTTCTGTTAGTCTGAGAGTACACTAACTTACCTTGTTAGTACAAGCAAACAGGACCTTATGGAAGCCCAAGCGTGCACTATGGGCAGCTCCAGCACTTGCTTGAGCTGCCCATTTGCACCAAGACCTTCCAGCTTGCCATGATCCAACCCTGTAAGCCAGACAGTCAGCCAACACCACCCTGCACCACTCTGGGTTTCAAGGAGCTCACCATGGTGCATATCTTCGACATGTCAGCTGTGGAGGCTGTCATTGGGCATGCCCAGGACTTGCATGCTTGCTGGTGCATCCTAGACTGCTCGGGAGTTGTTGGTAACTTGTAGTTAGGGTTAGTGAATAATACAATGCTGTTCAGCCTCACCCAGGTTACAAAAGACTTGACGCATACCCAGGAGAGGTTTAGAGACAGATTGAGTTGTATTACCTACTAAAGGGCACTAGGCCCAAATGTACAAAGACCTTGCATTTTGAAAAAGGTATAGGCCATTGACCAAAGTTGCCCAAAATGCCCAAAATAACTATAGAAAGTACTAGAGGGACAGACCTGTAAAAATAGTTAGAATAATTTGAACAATGAGAAATGACAACTAACTGTTTTGAAAAAGATATTCATAAGTCCCATAATGCATATTTCAAGTCAGAGCACTTTTACTGGCCCACTCCTCCTGCTCCTCCTACCCCTCCCTGCTCCCCCAAAGCCCTCATCCTCTCCTGCATGATCCTCAGCTGCTCCAGACTCTTCCCCAGTGCCTCCAGGAAGAGCTGAAGTTTGCCAAAAAGCTCTAGGAGGCCAGCAACAAATTTGATCATGGCCTCCATAGAGCACAACACCCAGATGATCTGCAGAGGTAAGTCAAATTTATCAAAGAAAAGAAATACTCACCTTAATCAGCATCCAAAGAGCATTGGCAGCATAGACAATGCTGCCCCGAATCCTTCCATGTCCAGCAAAGAAGGCCCAGGGGAGGATGGTGATGACAAGGGCCATGCAAACACCAGAGATGAGGTCAGAGGTGGAGATGATGAGCTCAGGGATGATGAGGACCATTTTAAAGTCTTTCAGAGGTAAGCAAAATGCATTAAAAAGGAAAAAAAAAAAAAAAAAAAAAAAAAAAAAAAAAACTCACCTTTTATTAGTTTGGAAGAGAAAGGGATAGCTATCCACCATCGGTGGCCAGCACAGGTCGAGTTGGCAGTGGTTGATGAGGAGAGGATGGATGGATCAGTGAGGACTTCAGGTGGCTGCAAAGCCAAGTTAGTAGAGTTGTTTGAAGGAAAGAAAGGACTAACTTTTTGTTCATTAGGATGATGTTGTTAGTAAGTTAATAGTATTATTAGTTACTTCAGGGTAGACAATGACTTAACTAATTAGGTAAGTCTTGCCCATGAAGCTCCTCTGAGTCTTAGAGGCAGATCTGTCCACCAAAGGTGGTCAGATGTTGTCAAAGGTGTGGGAGATTGTGGTGAAGAAGGAGGCAAGTGGAAGGAAGAGGGAGAGAGGGAGTACTTGTTCTCTCTTGACCTCCATCTGGAGGTCAAGAGAGAAGACTTGACACACACAGAAGAACTTCATTTACTGGGTTGTTCACAAGCAATTGGGGCATAAAGAATTGCTTGTGCAACTAAAGTCACATTATTAAAACTAGCTAAACTGTCAAGATCATTAGCAATAATACAATAATAAAATTATTATTATTAAACTTACAAGATAAAGGAGAGTAGAAAACTACTCCCCCAGTGCCTTGTCTATTGCAGCAAGTGTTTCCTCTGCTGCCAAGGCACTTGCTCGCACCATTGCATTGAATTTGTCTTCTGCTGGGGGAACATACTCTTCCCCAGCATGTTTCACATGGGCCTTTGCCAAGATTATCTTGCGGTGCTCCAGATTTGACCAGGATTACACCTTCTTGGGCTTGGGGGGAGAGGGAGGGGGAGGAGTGGGAGAGTGAGGAGGGGGAGTGGTGGGAATGGGAGTGGAGGGAGCAGGAGGGGGATAGGGAGAGGAAGGGCCACCTCCTTGCCATTGTGGAGAGGGGGCAAAGAGGTGGGAGGGAGGGTCGTCAAAGTAGGGGTTGGGGGAGTTGCTGAGGATGAAGGGGGAGGGCTGATGCTGATGCTGCTGCTGTTCATGCTGTTGCAAGGCAAACAGCAGCTCTTCAGCATCCGCTGGCACTTCTCCCACTCAATGAGAGAGATGGCAAAGTGCAGGATGCATGATCCCTGGTGCATTGCTTGGCCCAGGCTTGTTAAGCTTGAGGACACTTAGGCAGAGGACAGCATTGGCAAGTTTCGACTTGATCTCCACAGATTTGAAGGTGGATGTGATTGGCTGGTCCTTGTACTCTGCTGCAATCTTCTTCTTTCCAGACTTTTGAGCTTCCTTGTTTGCATGGGAGCCTTGTCAAGCTTGAGTCTTTGACTTTGCATTGGGTTCAATGAAATTCATTTCAATATTGAACTTTGGCCCTCCCTTGGCAAGGTGAAGTTCATAGAGCCTCTTGTGCTCTTCCTTGACCCAGGCGAGTCTGAGGTTGTTGTCTTTCCAAGGCACGATTGCCAGTGGATTGGATTCGACAACATCTTGATGAAGGACTGGGTGAAGGATTGGGATGCCATCAGTGATGATTTGCCTCATGAACACCATCTATGAATGGTAAGTGAGTGTTTGATGTGTTAGGTTACTTACACACCTTTAGAAAAATAGTCTGGGGCAGGGACCAGCATCTTTGTGCACTTGTGCACTTGCCCTCTCAACTGTTCCTCAATCTCAGTCCTCCAAATGGAGGACAGTGAGAGGGAAGGAGGGGGAAATCAAGCTCAGTATCAATCTTGCTGGTTGCATGCCACCCAGGCTTGCCTCAGTTGCCATCCTCCAAATGGAGGTCAGCAAAGGGGAAGGAAGGGGGGAAGGAGTTTCTTGAGGGACACACCACAGGGAGCAGGAGATGGGAATGGTGGTGGTGGTGGGAGAGGAGAGAGGAGAGGAGAGGAGAGGAGGAGGAGGAGATGGTGGTGGGAGAGAGAGCAGACTTAGACATTTTGGCCTTAGGGCCCCAACATGGCATTGTCAGTCCCTGAGCGGAGGCTAAATTTAAGCCCGTCAGGGGCGGATGCAAAAGCACTGAATTAAATGCCATTTTCAGAAAAAGCCCCTGGCTCACTGAAAACCGCTTTTTCAGTGCTCTGGGCACAGGATAGAGGACCCTATTCCGCATCCAGTGTAGTATCTATCAATGCACATCACTCACTTGTGTTTGAGAATTGAATAATACAGAGTCCATCACACCTTTTGTAAAGCACTTGTCAACTATGTGGCTCACCCTTCCCATTAGTACTGGTATGGTTTTCTTGCAATGCAGCTTTCTCACGTGTGTCACGGGCTAAATGATAATTTCACACATGACGACGCGTTGATGAGACGCGTCTCTCAACGCGTTCAACATTATTCTGCACTTCTTCACTTTTATCTATTTCTTTAGAAGTGAACAATATGGATTCGCAGTCATCAATATCAACTTCCGAGGATACTTTCCTTACTCTCACAGATACTGGCGATTCACAGCTCTTTCCACCCGACGTTGGGGACTCCCAACTCACATCAGCCTCTTCCCTTCCCTCCGACCCCACTGCCATCTCCCTCCTTCAGCAGCACCCAGCACTCCATTCTCCCCCTTCTCCGCTTTCCCAGAGTTATACACATCATTCACCGTTGCCTTCTCTTGCGCATCAGGAGGACTCTAATGGGGAGAAGACAAAGTTTATGGTGGGTATTGACGAGGCAGGGCGAGGACCAGCCCTGGGGCCAATGGTGTACGCTGCCGCTTATTGCCCAGTCGATTGGGAGCAGCTCAGCGAACTAGGTTTCAACGGTACGCCTATCCTCTCCCTTCCCTCCGCACCCACTCACACCACAGCAGACTCCAAAGTGCTCACAGCCGATACCCGGACCAAGCTCCTCGGCACGCTCTCCGCCCACCCCACGCATCTCGGCTGGAGCGTGCAAGTTCTCGCCCCCTCCTCCATCTCCCAAGGCATGCTCGCCCGTCCTCCCACAAACCTCAATGTCCAGTCCCAGAACGCGACAGTGCATATCCTGCGTTCCCTCCTTCAGGCAGGGCTCAACATCACCCAGATCTTTGTGGATGCTCTCGGCCCGTCGGTGCCTTACCAGAAGTATTTGCAGAGTCTGTTCCCCAGTGCGGAAGTGACTGTGTGCCCGAAGGCGGACAGTATATACGAGATTGTGGGCGCGGCGAGTGTGGCTGCGAAGACGTGTAGAGATGCGTGGATGGAGAGCTGGGTATGGGAGGAAGAAGGCATGCCGCCTGTGTTGCTCCCCGGGGGTCTGTCGCTCTCTCCCGCCGAGGAAGTTGACAATACAGATGGGATGGACACTTCAATGGAGCCATCTGTCTCTGCAGTGAAACAACAGGGACAGGAACTAGGTAGTGGGTACCCTTCCGACCCCAAGACTCAGGCGTGGATTGCCAACCGCCTGGAGAAGACGTTTGGGTACCCCCGGTTGGTGAGGTTCTCATGGGCCCCGATCAGGCTATCGATGGAGAAACATGGGCATGTCGTCAAATGGTATGTACTATGTGCGATCACAGACTCTGGTTGTTTACCATTGCGGCAGGATGGACGATAACCAAGCTTCGGTGGCTAAGAGCTTTGCGAGTGCGACGGGGAGAGATAAGGGCAGGTGTGGTCTTGCGAAGGATCTGGGGTTGAGGAGCGTTTGTGATATCTGATCATGTCAAGCCCGTGTATTATATCCCCAATCTGGTCGCTCATATTATTAGCGATCAGCGCCAGGTTGAATCATTCGAGGATGCCCCATTGTATGAGTTGTGTCATCAATATTCATTGAATTCATCGCGATATCGTGCCTGAGCTACGAGAGTGTAGGGTATACGAAATGTAGCTTCATACCGAACACAGTCCCTAAGCCCAAGTCAACGTAAACCCTTTGTTCAGATCAGCACCGTTGAGTGTCGCGTTAAGTCGTTGGATCTGGACATCTTGTCAGCGCGTGCTGCTGTACAGGATGGAGAAAGACTCACGCTCGGCTCATAGGTGAAAGCAGTAACGTTGGATCCCGCAAATTGGACAGATTCCCGAGGCCTACTAGCTACACCCAAGATAGACACCTGCCTGACCGTGCTAGTGATAGCATACGAGCCATCTACAGGAGTCACGGCAAGCCTTCCAAACTGAGCCGAGAAAGATATCGTCGTGCTAGGCGTGGGCCACTGGGTCTCACCATCATCGATGTATGCCGCTCCGCTGGCTTTCTGGCTCTTGTCAAGAGCAACAACAATGTCGTACTGGCTCTGCTGGGTCTCGTAGATAGTGTATCCTGGGTCGGAGTACAAGAGCAGGACGGATCCAGGACGAATGTGCACGCTGATGATAGTCTCAGTTTCCGTCCGGGATGTGTATGAGGGAACTTACTTGATCTGGCTGAGGGGCGCGGGGATGGAGGTGTTGACATTAGGGGTGACGTTAAGCGGGGCGTGTGTGAACAGGTCCCTCCACGGTCCCTCTCCAGGGAAGGTCCCCTTGACCTCAGTGACGTTCGGCTCCAACACAGGGGTGACAAGCAGCGAAGGGCCAACCATGAACTGGCGGTCGTTGAGCATCTGCTCGGGGGACGGGAACTCCCAGAAGACGGCGCGCATCGCTGGTGTGCCGGTGATGGAGGCTTGGGCCATGTACGTGTAGAAGTAGGGTAGAATGGAGTAGCGAGCCGCTGCAGCGCGGCGGGATGCATCGGCGACAGAACTGGTAAAGATCAGACGAAATCCAATGTCGATGCAAGGCACTCACTCCCAGCGGAAAGGCTCTTGCGAGAGAGCACCACGCGTGTTGTGGTTCCTATAGAACGGCGTAAAAGCAGACATCATCATCCACCGATTACACAGTTCCTCGTCCGTATTCTGGTTAAACCCACACGTGTCCGCACCGACCATAGGCTAACCTGGATTAGCGCGGTGCTCAATGCCGGTGAGGGGAAGACTCACGATGCCAAAGATCTGGAACTGCAGGATACCCTGAATAGAGTAGGCCATATATCTCCACGTGGAATAATTATCCCCAAGCCAATGGTGGGTGTACCTGCCCGAGCCCGCATAAGTCGATCGAGCAACGAGGAAAGGCCTGTTGGTCGGGTTAAGGGAAAGGAGGGCGTTGTGTGTCCGGACTTCGCTCATATGGCCCCAGATGTTCTTCACGTCATAGAACACACCAAAGGCGGTGCTAGCGTTCATCGCTACGGTCTGGACGTCGAGCGGGCCTTTGGCGTTATGGATCGCATAAGGGGGCGTCTCGAGGAACCGCTGGGTGACGTTCTGGTATACGATTTCCGTTGCACGCTTGGCGAGCGCATGCTGCGATTCGTCAGCTAGTGAACGCCGGAAGTTAGTCGTCGAATCCGGGACGTAGGTCGAGCTCCCGTTGACGGTCATGTTGCCCGAATCGCCGTAGGTGGTGTAATCGTACCCCTCCGGCCAGCCAGTGACGATCGTAGGTGACGTGTCAGGTGAAGCCAGCGTGGACCAGTTCTGGCCAGTACCGCACGAGCCGACGCAGAAAGACGAGGGCTCGTTCATGTCCTCCCATATCCCGTCGAAGGATATGATCTGGGAAAAGTTGCGGAAAGCGTCTGTCCACCAGGCTTGGGACTGGTTGTTGTACCAATCTGGGAAACTTGTGTACCCTGGCCAGACCTGGCCGATGTATTGACTCCCATCCTCGTTATGGATAAAGGTACCCTCTTCGGTGCCGCTTGTCCAGGGGTCATATACATCTGTGCCGTTCGGGATCTGCACACCGATGGCGCCGTCGATGACTGCAGCATACATCAGCGATTGTGCACGGGGATGAAAGGGCCCACTAACTGGGGATATAATGCTGATGGTTCGCATGCAAGCCCTGGATCATCGCCTCGTATTCGGAAGGAGCAAACCTATTCGGCGCAGGGATAAAATCACGGTACGCGTCCATCCAGTCTACACCTCATCAGCCTCGTCTGGTCACAACAGAACCGAACGCAACGTACCAATATCGTTCCACTGCGTCTCAAGAGGGATGTTCGCCGCTCTCATACTGTCGATCACGAACTGCGTGTCGCTGACGTTGTTGTACCCCCAGCGACACTGATGGTACCCAAAGCCCCACATCGGCGGCATCTGGGGCAAGCCGACAAACTGGACATACTGTTCCACTACCTTGAGGGGTGAGTTGCTACCGGCCGCGTCCCCGCTGAAGAAATAAAAGTCGAACGTCCCCCCAATGGCGCGGTATTGGATTACCCCTGGACGGAGGAGGACGTCCATCCCCGAGGTTTGGAGGAGGAACACCCCGTGTGAGTCGGCTTTTCCCGAACTGTCAAATCGGGTTTCCACGTAGACTGGGTGATAACCATCTATGACGCGTCAGGGCACCGACGGGGTATATGCCATATAGAGACATACAGAGGTTCGAATCCAACGGGTCGCCAATATCGAGCGTGAAGAAAGGCTGCACCGTCGAATTGGGATCGCGCCTAAAGTTGCCCGAAATGTACTCGCCGAGACCTGCGCCTCGTCAGCTCCACATCAGCCAATACCAGGGATCGTACCATACCATAGATGTTCGCGTCTTGGGGAAGGGCAGAAGACAGCTGAAGATACTGGTTCGAGAATACCAGAGGGTGGGCAGGCATCGCGGTAGTGTTCGTCACGCTGGCATTGTTCTCGTACGAAAACAGGGGTTCCGTATACGTTGGTATGTTCTCTGCCCGCGTGTCGAATATCACCGCACCGGTGGAGCGCTTCTCGACCCAGAAGGCGAAAGGTGAGCTCGTGTAATGGAAAGCGAAGTCGGAGGTGGAGGAAGGGACGGAGGCGGGAGGGCGGGCAAGCACAGATTGCGGGAGCTGGTACTGCTGCTCTGCGGTGTCGTAGATATGCACATGCAGGCGGGACTCGGTCTGCAAGGGGAGAGGGTGAAAAACAGCCTGAGCCTTTGGGGAGGGCTCACCTCGTACGTCACGCTCAGTGTCAGCGAGGGGATCGTTACTCCAAAAGCGTTACACGCCGGCCCAGAGAGCTTAAGCAGCGCCTGCACGCCGCTCTCGTTCTCCTGTACACTGTCGACCTCGTATCCTGTTCCCGTCAGCCCTGACCCTATCCGTGCGTTATGATAAAGCGCACCGGTACAGTTCACCACAGAGTAAGAGGGGATGATATCCCCTGGCCATCGGGCGCCTAGCTCAGTGCGGGATGTGATGAGCGGACTGGCGAGAGCAGAGAGAGGCAAGAGCGCCCCGAGCAAGTGTAGGAGTGTCATGCGCGTGTTGGTGTGTGTCGTGTCGTTGTCGGTATCCGTCGGTTCGAAAGGAGAGAGGAGGGGGCTGAGGAGGGGGGAACGAGGAACGAAGAACAGTATCTGGAAGGTTATAACCTGTTCTACCGTACTCCCCACCGCCCAACCGAATCAACACCGTTCCAAGAGGAACAGACTTCCAAAGGTGTGTTTACCCTCATTCTCATTCCTGTACGTTCATACCGCGTGTCTCTTCTTCTCCTTCTTCTCTGCCCACACTGTACTCTCCGTCCCCGTCGTTCCTCAAGCAGTGTCACGTTACACCCCGCACCATAGGACGGACCAGCGCGCATTCCAGTCCAGTCCGACGAGCGTAATGAATACAGTCCACATACCCCGTCCAAGTCGGAGTCAGGTAAAAACAAAACAAAGCCAAAGACGTAAACAGGACATGAATAAGATGTACACCAACGTTCCGAGAAGGGTTCGCCCGGTGACTTGTGACTTGTCACATACCGCCGCTTCCCCGCATGCGGGTCTTGGCTTCCTGAAGCGCTGTACTGGGTCACGTTCCTCCCTCAATTTGGGGGAAATCCTCGTGCCAGCAACGATGACCAAAATGCGAAAGGAGCTAGAAGCTGCGGCTATTCTCCGGTACGACAATGCCGGACATCCCTCGATCCAAATATAGCATCCTACAGTCCGAGTTGTGACCAAAAATGATGATACGCTCTTGTGTAAACCTATTCGAGCTCGATGATGAGTCTGTTCTTAATTCGTTCGATGGTTGTCAAATCGTCCGCAAGAAGACACATCCAAACAACGTTAACAACCAGCCAGGGACCCATTCAGCTCAGTATCATCCCCCTCCCTCAAACAAAGTTACTCATGTAGACACACTCAGGCCCCAGCGGCAAGAGGAAATATCAAGCCCGATCAGATTAGATTGCATTCTAAGCTAGAAGCTGTAAGCTGGGTAACTGGGCGTTGGGCGTAGGAGTGTACCCCAAGCTAGGGAGGGGGGAAGGGGGACATGCAGCGAGCGAACCGCAACACAAGCGACAACGGCGACAACGGCGATAAAAATCGGAGACGGAGAGACGAAATAGAGATAGGAAGAGAGGGGTAGAGAGGGGACAACTGCGCCCTAGGGAACATATATAAGGAAGAACAGGAGAACAGGAGAACAGGAGAACAGGAGAACAGGGGAACAGGGGAACAGGGGATGAAGGCAAAAACGGAAAAACGGAAAAAATAACAGGGGAGATTAAACGTTGGAAACGAGTTGTGGTAGGACATGAACAGGGGCCATCGGTTGGGGGAAATGCATAAATATCAACGGAACGGCCTTGAGATGCGAAGGGCGAAGTGAGGCAGCAGGTGCCTGCTGGTCGTCTGTGGGGGTACCGGCAAACAGGCTGAAGGGGAGGCTGGGAAGCGGGAAGCAGAAAGCGGAAAAGCGAAACAGCAGCAAAGAGGAAGAGGAAGAGGAAAAGAGGAAAGAGGAAAGGGAAAAGGGAAAAGGGAAAAGAGCGTAAAAGTCATCCTATTATCCCAAAGAGAGTCGATCTGCCCACACCGGCAGAGCGGACGAAGAGCGCAGTCCAGGCGGCAGAGGGCAGAGGGCCACGAACATCCGCGGCGCCCGCAACGCAGGCAGGCAGAACAGGAGGCAGAAGGGGAGACGGGCATGTCGGCATATCGGGGTCGTACTTTTCTTGTCCCCACGAGCTTGGGCAGCGATCGGGGACGTAGGGACGTGGGTTGTCGATGAACGGGTGAAGAGGAGAAGGGGGGAGAGGGAGGCGACGGGGGGATGGGGGATGGGTATATGCGCGGCTCGACATGCCGTATTCTCATGCCTCATGCTCCGGGTTACTCTGCCAAGAGTTCAGTGATGCCTTCGCGCAGAGTGTCGGTCAGCTTGGCTCACCCTGCCTACTCGCAAGCTCCATCGCCTGCGTCCTCGTCACCGGCATCATCTTCGTCGACATATCAATCTCCGCTGTGAGCGCCATGGGCAGCTCTGCCATGCCCGGCGTCGGGGGGCGCGAGCTATCCGGGCCAGAAGAGTTTGCCGTTATCTGGCTGACGATCTGCTGGGAGGTGTTGAAGTACGACCGGCGGTTCATCTTCTGGTAGTCGTAGACTGTGAACTGTTCTTCGAGCGTGCGCTGGTCGGAGGAGAGAGAGTTGACGTCGAGGTTCGCATTCCGCTTTCGCGCTTTGAGAGGGTTGTCTTCTAGGAGGAGCTCTTCCAGCTCGTGGGAAGCGTCAAAGTTCGCTTTCTTGGACTGTCGCAAGGGTGAGTGTCAGCAAGGGGTGAAGAGGGAGGAGAACGCACATCAGGTACGAAAGGCGGTGTGAGCGCTTTCTGCTCCAGGGCATCCCAGTCAAAGTCCCTCATCCAAGGATGGGACTTCACTTCCCTCGCCTCGTCGTCCAAGCTCTTACATCCGAGCCGTCTCCTCGGGTCCCGCTCCAAGAAAGTAACAAGACAGTGGAGCGCCTCGCGCGAGTGTTTCTGTTGCGCGTCTTCGGGGAACTTTACGCTGTCTTTCGTGATACTCTGCGTGAGGTTGGAGTTTGTGTTGCCTTTGAAAGGACGTTTGCCGAACATGAGTTCGTAGGCTACGACACCAAGGGACCACCAGTCGATCTGATACGAGTACCCGCGCTTTGTGAGCACCTCGGGTGCTAAGTTGCATGAGCATCACCAACAAGCAGGGAAAAGAGGGGACGCACCCATGTACGCCATACTCCCCGCTACGCCAGTCATAAGTTTCTTAGGCGAGTAATGCACGGCGATGTTAAAGTCTGTAATATGCGCATGACCCCGCTCGTCGAGGAGGATGTTGTCCGGCTTGAGATCGCGGTGTACGATGCGTTTGTCATGCAGGTAGCTGATGGCCGAGGACAGCTCGGCAACGTAGAACCTCACGAGCTCCTCTGACATCGGACCGTTCCTATCCAAGTGGACTGCACACGTTCAGCGCAATCCTACAACACGAATGGACAAAAGACGCACATCTCAGGTCCCCGCCAAGCATAAGATCCAGAACGAAAAAGCAATTCTCGTCGTCTTGGAACGCATAGCGCAAGTTGACGACAAACGGGTGGTCGATCTCCTCGAGCAGCCTGCGTTCCTGGATGATATTGGTGATGGCGCGCATCTTGACACATTTGGCTTTGTTGATGTACTTGAGGGCGAAGAGCTCTTTGGTTTGTTTGTGCTGGACGACGCGGACCTGGGAGGTACATGTATCTGATCGTCAGTATATGGACTTTCTGATCTCCCGCGTAGGGGGAGGGGGGAAGACGCACCTTTCCGAACGCACCCTTGCCTACGCTCCTCAACAGCGCGAAATGGAACAAGTTGACCTCTCCGTCAAAGTCGATCGGCTATTCCGTTCGCTCAGGTCAGCACGTACCCCGTGGCAGGGGAAGGAAGGGAGACTCACCTCAGGCCGACAGCATACTGCGCCCATTGTTTACTCGTAGAAGGGAAAGAGGGGTATCAAGAGGAGTCTAGGAGTCTAGAAGGTCGTGCGAGGGTATAAGGGAGAGGATGGAGAGGGTGTAGGATGTCACTTTGGTGTGAGGTGGTTGTCGGATGTACAGGTAATAGGTGGTTGTCGAAGAAGGTAGACGATAGCCAATAGGAGAACAGGGCGGGGATGAGGGCGGGGGATGAGGGGAAGAAGAGAGGAGAGAGAGAAGAAGAGGAGGAGAATGGAATTTGGTCTTTCAGGGTGTAAGGCACAAACTGGGCGCATACATTGACTCCATTCAAAGGGGAACAGAGGGTCCATCTCATCATATGTCTTTATTCCGATGAATAGCATATCAACATACATGTAATTGAGTTATTATCCTTTGTGCATTATTAATGTCAACATCATCATCATCAACAACAACAATAACAACAACAACATCCAACCCACAATTGCCACCCACCCACCTCGTGTTCATCTCCGCTTTGCCACGTGTTCCCTTAACGACGAAATCCCTTCTCACTTCTCCACATCTCCGTCTCTCTCTTCCGGGGTTCAGGGTTCTTCTTTCCCTCTTCTCGAGGTCCATGAATGTCGTCATACATCCATCAATATCTGCTTACTATCCCCTATTCTGCATAACCCATATCCTCTCCTCAACCCTCACAGTCCTCCCCAACACATCCCACACACCCTCCCACCCCCTCTCCCTCACACACCTCACATCCCCCATCCCAGGCATCCTCAACCCCTCAAAAGCGCTCACAACCCCCACCTCGACCCACCCTCTCGCCCTCAACTCCCCAGGCTGTTCCGTCAGCGCATGACTATACCTCCCCCACTCGGATCCCGTCACGTTCTGTTTGGTGTATTCCCAGGGTACGAGTGGCCGCGTGGGGAAATGCGGCTCTCCGTGCAGTTGAGTGAACAGGGATGCTCCGGTCTGCGCGGCGAGGTTGTCGATATGTACGTTTACTACCCCGAGTCAGCTAGGACACAAGCGGGGTGGGGGGGAGGAGTACCCCGCGAGACTTCAGGAACCAGGGCATGCAGGAGGCGCATCCCGTTCCCTCCTGGGTAGTTGAGTATCGAGATCCCGCTCAGGACGATAGTTGATAGTACATTGCCTAGTACAAGACCGACAAGAGCGAGCTTGACGAGCAGCGAAAGACCGGGGATGCGTATCCGTGTCCTGCAGAGCGTCAGCTTCCCCCCGTGCGAGTAAGCGAGCTGGAACGGACAGCATCTGCGCCCCTCGGGCAGCTGCAACGTTCAATACCGGCACGGCGTAGACGATGAACCGCCATTCCTTATGTCCCAGGAGGGAGATCAGGCTCAGGTAAGCGATCCAAGGCTGGAGAATCTCCAGTGCTTGGGAGTCCACGAGTCCGACAAGAGAGAGCGGGAGGGCGCCAAGCAGCAGCTTGGGGATGTGGGAAGTGAAGTACGCGTGTATGGGAGAGACCTGGCCGATGTCAGTCGTCAGTCGTTTGTGCGTGTGTGTGTGGGTAGAGGGGGACGCACGCCCCACTCTTGGCTCTTCCCTTCGAAGACGTTGAACCATATTCCCTGGAACTCGGGCCACAGAGGCCACTGCTGCCAGAAATAGGAATCGATCAACACTGTCGCCACTGCCAGGTCATTCATTAAACGTCGCGCCCCAGCCAAGCAGGGAGACTTGCCTAACGCGACAGAGCCGGAGATGGCACCTGTGAGGAATATCCTCTGCGAGGAGACACCTCTCCTAAGTCCTTCGACCAGTAGTCCGGGGAGCAGCAGGATCAGCTCAGCGCGGAAGATCGTTGTTGCTAGAACGACAAGCGCCAGGGCTCGCTGATAGTTCCTCGCTGATCCTCCCCGGGACTTGCGGAGGAGCAACGCAGACGCGACGTTTACTGCTCCCCATCAGCCTCGCCACATGAGCATGAGACGAGCAAAACGTACCAAGAGGGAAGGCGAACATGTTCGGCAGCGTCCGGCTTAGCCAGAACGGCACATGAAACTGTGTGCAAGAGAGGACGGTGAACCACAGTCCTGCAGTATAGCCAAACCGGTTGCTCGTCTCCTTGCGTAACATGCACAGGCTGCGTAGGTTGACGAGCGCTAGGATGCCTCTTGCTGCGTTGTTGATTAGCGTGTTCCGCTGAGGCGGGTTAAGGAGCTGGGGGGACGAACCGTACACCTGGAGATCGAACTTGTTCTGTATTAGCCCGAAGGCGTTACATGCCCATCCCAGGGGGTAGAGCGCGCTTCCGAGAAACAAACTTCCTATGAACGACCGGGGCACCACACCGGGGAATAGGAAATGGTCGTACTACACCATGCGCCGATGAGCCAGCCTGGAGTTGGATTGTTGGATGAACTTGAACGTACTTTCTGCAGGCTGGAGGGAAGGACGCCGTACATGAATATATCGTGCGCTGCGTGCAGGTTGAACGATTCTTCTACTTTTGTATAAGGGGAGAGGACGAGATGTGTCCATGCTACGAGGTAGAAGACTGCGTCGAACAGTGCGTCTGGAGGCATGTTGACAAGAAAGGACAAGGGATGAGCGCTTGTTCCTTCCTTGTACGCGTCTTACCATGCGTCTACGAGCAGCGCTCATCTCCCTCTCAAAGCAGGGGCATGACTATTCCCCTTGCGCAGACGCTCTAGAAGAAGCAGGGCTGAAGACGTCCGACGACCTCCTCTTCACTACTTCTACGTCAGAACAGTATGCTCGGCTCCCAGGTGGAACACTCTCCTTTCCCGAGTTCGCAGCGCTCAAGGAAGACGTGTCCAAGTTCGTCGCTCCCCACCCTCTGACGGGGGAAGAAGCGTACTTGCTCGCTATGGGAACTGAAGCTCAGAGGTATGAAGGTCTTTGTGGAGTCCCGGAGTTGGACGCGCTGCTGGGCGGGTTTGGGCAGTACGGCGTGCTCGAGTTTTCCGGAGGACGAGAATCGTGTAAGACCGTGAGCTGCTTTCCCACTCCACCCAACTCAGGCTGACCACTGGATACCTCGATGACTTGCAGCTCTTGGCATTCCATATCGTCCTCCGATACCTGAGCAGCGAACGGAAAGGCAAAGCCCTGTGGATCGACACGTCCAACTCGTTCAACGTCCAGCGCGCTCTGGCAGTAACGCGGCTCCTCCCCGGGCTGGTGCGCCTCCCGGCGTGTGTGTATACGGAGGTGCTCATGTGTTTAGGGGGTTGGGGACGCGCTTGACAGGTTGGCGTACTCGACGTGCTTCGATGTCGACCCTGCGCTTGGGGTGCTGGACGATATCCGCCAATCGATAGACGTGAGCTCCTTCCGAGCTGCTGGTGCATGTATGCGTTCTAACACGCTCCACTCTGAAGCTAAGAGGGGAACGCGTCGACACCACAACACCGAGGTTCATCGTCATAGACGCTATCACACCCTTGTTATCCAAAGAGATCTCCAGCGTCTCCTCCCAAGGTCCCCCACCCCGCCTCCCCGTGGAGTAACTCCCAGCTCACATCACCCCAGGACACGCGATCATGGTTTCCTTTCTCAGGCAACTCAACGCCCTAGCCCGCTCATACTCGCTCACCGTGCTCGTAAGCCTCCCCTCATAGCCTCGTTCCACACCTGACGTAGTCAATTAAGATAATAAACAACTCCGTCCTCGCCGGTCGACCCAAGCAGTCCCCCAATTCCGAGTCTGAGGCCAACCCCCAGCCAGCGCTGGCGATAGGAATGCGCCATCCCGAGCCTGAACCGCATAACGAGCTTTCGGCTTTTAGCACTACTAGTACTAGACCGGCGCTGGGACCTACGTTCACTTTCTTGAGTGACGCGACGCTCTGGCTGTCGGAGGCGAAGATGGTTTTCCCTGCAGATACGGAGCTCGCCAGGGCTGGCCAGCAGAAGGTTTATATAGCAGAGGTGTTAAGGTCGAGGAGCACTGTAAGTTCGCTGCATGGCCTGGGGAAACTTCACTGAGCCCAAGTAGTTATCTGGGACCTGGTGTGCTTTCAAGTCGGTAAGCATGACATGTTTCGGGCAATGCAGCGCTTCTGATATTGGGCCAGGACGGGTTAAACCTACTTCCAATCTAGACAACATCTATGTATCGCTATCCCCACCGTGTACCACTACCAAGAAGATGCAATGTATGATATACTGCAGCAGTGGTCTACGAGTCAGCTACTTTTGCTCCGCACCCTTCTTCGCCGCGGCATCATACAACTCTTGATATGTGCCGCTCTTGAGGCACATATCCTTGAAGATGCCGGACTCCTTGTTCAGCAAGTTGATGGGCGTGTCGAACCTTAACTCTGTGAGCTCGCTGTCCGTCTTGTGTACAGTGACTTACTCGGCAACCCTGCCCGCATCTAGGACTAACAACCGGTCGTAGTCTGTCTCTTGTCAGCAGTTACTAGCTTGATATGAGTATGAAACGCACCGATGATGGTCCTGATACGATGGGCAATAGTCAGCAGCAGAGAGTTGCTGAATTCTACGCAATGTCAGTCAACGTTGGCTACTCGGATCATGTAGGCATACCATTGCGGATCGTAGCCTGAATCTTCGAGTCCTGGAATGAAGTTCATTAACAGGGTCGGTTTCTCAACGCCGCTACTCACCGTCTCGAAATCAACACTGGCAGTTGCCTAGAAACTGGTTCAATCCTGTCTGAATATCGTGTGCTGACACTCGTACCTCGTCCATGATGATCATCGAGCTCTGCCTCAACAGGGCTCTTGCCAAAGCGATCAGCTGCCTCTGCCCCTGTGAGAAGTTCGCCCCGCCGGCGCTGACTTGTGTCTCAAGGGTGATTACCACCCTTTCGTCTGCTACTACTGTAGCGGAAGCCACTGAAGTATCATCGGCTGTCGGGGATGACGGCCTGGATGGTTCACGGGAGGAAGCTTGCGAGCTTCGGCGAGTGTTATAACGGCTCTCGGAGATCAGGTGAACACGACGCAATGCATCCCAACAGTCGTCATCACTGTGGTCAGCGAAAGGATCCAAGTTATCTCTAGAGCACAGATTAGATCTGCAATGCCTGTAGACAATCCCTTCATGGCATACCTTATGGTTCCAGAAAAGAGGACGGCGTCTGTTTGTTGCGTGAGACCCAGTTCAAGTACAGACGCCATCAAACATACCTTGTGGAATGAAAGTCTGCGCCGGCACCAGTCAGCCTATATGCAAACAAACCAATTGCGATACTCACTATCCTGGATCTGAGATCTTGCAATCCAATGGTTGTGATGTCAATGCCGTCCACGATTATGCGCCCTTTCCGAGGATCAATGAAGCGAAGGAAACTCATTGCCAAGGTGCTCTTCCCGCTTCCCGTTCGTCCAAGTAACCTGTTCAAACTTAGACAACTTTTTACGCTGAATCTGAGCAACTTTTTCATACCCAATCTTTTCTCTAGCTGCGAGTGAGAATGAGATATCGTGGAGTACCGGCTCTAGCTCTACGGCATAGGCGACTGCTAGATTTTCCACCGACACGAAGTGATCCGAATCAGAGTTAGATGGCCAGAACGCGGGGGGCCGGTGACCTTCGATGATAAGTGGAGCCTGGTATATGTTTGGTGTCGTTAGGATGGCAGGAAAGGCGAATTGTACTCACCTCGGATGGAAGATCACAATATTCAACCACTCGCTAAACATGGTTCGAACATCATTGTGAAAAGAAAGAGACATGACACACCTCGACTGAATTTAGGTCCATTTCCAGTTGGCTGAACAAAACACGTTGTATTTGAGCGCTCGGCATCTCTGCATAGAAAGTCTCTTACGTGAAAAAGCGACCTGTGATTCGTTGTCAACACTCCTGTATCCCTTGAGGAGGATAACTCACAAGTCCAGTATACCGACATGGTAAAGGTCATTGAAAGGGTGATAGTCAATCCCGCCATTCCAACATCAATCCATCCGGAGAGTGCGATAAGGGTCGTCAAAAATACAGCCCTGAGCTGCCTCAGGAAAAGTCGTGCGGTGTAATACAAGTACGCACAAGGCACCTAAGCTGTCAAATCGAACGAGAAGCCATCTATTCAACATCCACATATTCCAGAAGAATGTCTGGGTTTTGTCGATTTTGGCATGCAACGCCTGGAAGAAGCGTTTCTCGGCTGAGAAGGCTCGTACTGTTGTGATTCCATCCAGCATGTCCGCGAAACCAGAGAAAATTGGAGACCGAGTGGTGGACTCCATTCTTCTAAGATCTCTGCTGGTGCTCAGATATCTGTTGCTTGGAGTAAGCCTCGGTCACAATACCAGAAGAAAGGACTTGCCCAACGGTTAACGTATAATATGTCACGCCAATGACAAGTGCGGGCAACAAGAACGCAGGGACTGATGTATGCCGATCAGTATCCCTGAGCATATATTGTATTCCAATACTTACGAATGATACCGACAGTGAGCACGGCAGCAATGAAGGCAGTTAGGAAGGCAACAGATGCTCGCTGTTTGAATGGAGAGTCAGCGGATGACTCCGGCGGCTAAATCGAACCCACAAGAGATCCAGGAAGCTCGGTATCGATGGTCTGCGTATCACGCGAGAACCGATTCAAGATTCTACCAGTTGGCGTCGTGTCGAACCTATTCCGTAGTTCAATCAGTCACTCGATATAGCAATGCCAGGAGGCCAAATGTACCATCGAATAGGGGCACGAACGACGGTCTTCAAAAGTCGTGCAAAGAGTACTCTGACTCGGGTAAGTCAGTCAATAAATTGGTTGTTTTATGCCTTACTTGGATCTGTACCAGAGCCATGTCCGATTTAACATTTGCTAGCAGTTGACTGAACGTTGGCTTACCCTCGATAACCGGCAACAGTCTGGAAAATACAGTCCACCACAGCTGTGTTTGCAGCTCCCATGCCAATTGCCTACTCCAAAAAAGGTATATCAACAACATGATACAAACAACGAACCCGATAGACGTACCGCATAGATCCCTATATAGAAGAAAGGATGATCGCGCGCGCTTGGAAGATTGAACATCGTTAGAGGCGATGCCGAAGGTGAAAAGCCGGTTGTATTAACATCACCGCTGACACCTTGGATTGGGGAGAGAACATGCTGGATGGCCTGGATGCTGGGTATATATCCTTCCACGGTATTCGGGACCCAGGCAGAGGTTGAAGCAACAACGTGCCGAGCAGCGCTATCGATGCTATAATGCTGGAACAGATGATCAGCTCAACTCGATTGATGCCGTCATTCCCATGCTCACCTGGCCCCAGAGTTTGATCCAATACTGGGAAGTATGTTAGTATAGAATAAATCCTAGATTCCCGGATTCGTACCTTCTCAGAAATAGACAGCCCTTGGAAAAGTATAATGAATACAAGGTTCAGTCCCCAAATTGCAATAGACTTCCAAGATCAGGCCAAATCAAAGGAACACAGATGACATACGACTTACAGATGCAAGTAGATAGCTTCTGTATATCCGCCACTCGACACTTCCTTCGGCTTTTGCTTCCTCCTCTACAAGACGCCTCGCTTTCTTTGTCTGTGTAGGCGCTTGCGCGGTTCCGTTAGGCGCTTTGCTGCCTTCCACAGCTTCTGATTCGGGATCTTTATGTTCTGCAGCTTCAACCTTCTTGTCCTCCTCTTTGGCCTGGGCGGCTTCCTCTACCACAATTTGACTCAAAATTCCCTTCTCTCGCAGTTCCTTTGTCTGGCCCTGGGTATCAATGCGCCCATCAAGCATCCGAACGAGATAGTGAGCAGCAGGAAGAACCAAATCGACATGATGGGTAACGAGAACCTATCAACCATATTAGAGCGAGGTCAAGAACTTCGTGACATAGTTACATACGACAGTGCGATTTTCCATGAGTGGGCCTTGCAGAAGATGCTCAAAGACGTATCTGGCGCTATGGCTGTCCAGAGCTGCCAATGGATCATCAAGTAGGACAGTCTGCGATAATGTCAGCGCAGTCCATAACTCTGCTAGCAACCTTACCTTAGTTCGGGCGTAAGCCGCTCGCGCAAGGCTGGCCCACATATCAGCAAGGCTGCCAACACACCCTCCGATGTAAACTTACGCAACGCGAGCCTTCTGCCCCCCGGAGAGTGCCACACCCCTGACCCGAGATCAGTTTCATATGTGAAGTCGTAGGATGTTGCCACATACCTAGCGCCAATCTCGGTTTCTTTTCCCTATCAGAACAATGAACCTGGATAGATAGAGGGGCTTACGATCGCCATCTTCTAACATTGCAAAGTCTGGCTTCAAAGCGCATGCATTGATGACGGCATCATACCGCTCAGCGTCAAGCGGACTGCCAAACAAGATGTTATCTTTGATGCTCTGCTGTTCCAACCATGGTGTTTGAGCGGCATAGCTCAGGGAATTCCGCAGCCCGTGCTCGTCGACCTGTGTAGGGTCTTTTGGAAGAAGTAGCTTTCCTCGCGTCATTGTCATTTCTACAACATGTGAGTAGACGCCCCCTTCGCCAGTAAACTCCTACCTCCAAGGAGAGCCATGAGAACTACGGTCATGGGGATTAGTAGCTGTATGCCGCAGATAGTAACAAGGCATACGAGCTGTCTTTCCGGAGGCAGTTGGCCCGGTTACAACCGATAGTTTGCCAATCGGGAAGACGATATTGATGTCCGACAATTCGAAAACAGCTTCGGCCGCTCCGTTCACTTGTTCCTCGGCACCCGGTGCATCCTTCTTCTTGGCCTCTTCATTCTCGTTCCATTTGAAAGTTGCCTCCTCGGCTCCCAATCGGGCATCAATTGGGATAGTTGACTCTGGAGGCGGCCGTTTGAAGGAGGAAACGTCATCCGACACATCTGGCTCAGCTAAGAAGGCGTCTATGCGAACAAACGATACACCTATAGAAGCAGTGGGCCAGAAATCTCGGAACTCGTTAGACTTGCTTACTAGTTTCCAGGAATCGCACGACGAAGTACGGAAGAAGATTCAGACTGCAGCATTTGCAATCGGTAAGCTGCGCAACGATCATGCGATGAGACACTTACGGCTGACGCAACATGTCGAACAGAGCGATAGCGGTGAAGGCAGTAGATACAGTCAACTCGTGCCCTTGAGCTACGAATACCCAGAAACTGCAAATAGACACCAGAGCAGGTACGTTGGCAAACAGAGCACGGAACAAGAGGGAATTGATGAAGTCTGCAACTCATTCAGGTGCGGTTTGAACGAAGAGGCGTGGCTACTCACTCTTGACGAGCCAGTTCAGTTCTTCCTGACGCGCTTTCATGGCTCTGTCGATCCACTGGTTTTCCCAAGCGAAAAACTGTAGTACTGTCAGACCGCCTATTACAGTTTCTCTCTCTATACAAACCTTGATGAACTTGATTGCTGGCCGCAAGATCAGCCTTGAGAAATGGGGTGCCGGTGTAAGAGCTTACCTTGGATCAGCTCCGTCAATACACCCATTCGCTTGTCACGAGCAGCGGATACGCCGGTAGCAAGCTAGACAAATAGTCCATGTTATCAAGAGACGTTCGTGCAGAGGGCCTGTATTACGACATACTTTGATCATACGCCTCGACATGATCGTATTCAGGGGTGCCGCAATGACGAGGACGGCTACTCCGGCGAATGCTGACCAACCGAGCAATCTACCAGCCTGTGAGCTAGGTTCGACAAATAGGCTATAAACTCACTGATAGAGGAAAACCAGGGCGATGGCGATCTCAAATGGAGCAGTCTGATCCCGTCAGGTATGAATGTATGCGCAAAGTGATGACAACGTACGTAGATGTTATAAAGGAACACAGCCCTGCGTAAATCGTGAGTTCGAAAACAACGATTTGTACATAAAGACATACATAATCGATATCTTCTCAACATCTCCACTCATGAGCTGGACAATCTTACCCACATCAGCCTGGGTCTTGACGCTGGGGTCTTTCTCCTTCTGCTTCGGGTCTTCCTTGTTTGCCACCCCAGAAAAATCCTTTCGTCGGAGGGATTTCTCATAGATATCCGCCATGAGCTCTGCCTTCAACCTAGTTGACATTCGCCTATCGTTCCATAGATGTTGAAGGTCGACCTCGGTCTACAACATGTGATCAGACACACTAATCGTGCTAATCGAAATGTGACTGACTTTCGTAAGACCAGCTAGGAAAGCTAGCGCGGCGAAGAGGAATGCCATGCTGCGTGACTCGGGCGTCGGGTCCGCGATTGCGTCCAGAATGCGCTTGAGGAAGAACGGACCGGCGTATGAGCATGCCGAGGATATGTAGGACAAAATAGCATCCACACTATACACGCAAGTCAGCTCATTTCACGTGTATGAAGATCGCAAGCCGTACATGAGGTCGAAGGAGTTGGCCACAGCTAGACTTCGAAGGGTCGAGCTCTTCCGGATTGTACGATATTTCTCGAACAGGGCTTGGGACTTTACTGTTGGGCTCAGATCCCATACGTCTTCTTCCTTCAGAGTTTTATTCCTTCCCTGTTTACGTGATGAGAAGAAGAGAGGCGGACTACAGGAAAAGCACGAACTTTCCACACCAACGGCCCTACCCAGGCGAACGTAATCCATCCATACAGGGAGGTGTAGTCCTCGGGAGAGATCGTTTTTCCCTATTACGGCGTAAGCGATTCCAGAAAATTACAAGCTCCAAACATGCGCATACAATCTCCTTCTGTTCTTCGTCGTTCGCAGCCAACGCGATCGGCATAGACAGAACGGCTCCCAGAGCCAGGATCGGTGCGATCAGATCAGCCACTTGAAGCGAGAAGATCCACCAGACCGGAAGAGGGATGCCATATGCGCTGAGGTTGAATAGTTGTGCTCCGAGATTGAACGTAGCCGTGAGGATAAAAGTCAGATGCAGAATGAATAGATCGGTGGGTGCGGTGGCTTGAGGGCGGACGACGGGAATGAGGGTTGCGTAGAGCCATGGTAGCACCTTCACGAATGGAAATACGATACGCCAGACCGGTGACTCTTCCTGCTGTTGATGCCATAAAACGATATTATATGTTCCGATCGCGATCAGTACCAGTGTTTCTCCCAGAGCGGGAAGAGATAGAAGCATAGTCTTCCAGACAGGCGGACGGGAAGCGCGTGCATTGGCATCGTCAGCAACCACAGGCTCGCCTCTCAGGATAGCCTTCGCTTCTGGGAGCGTGATGAAAGGATCAAAGGGTGATGCTAGGAATCGCGCAGCTTTCACTACAACTCTTGGCCATGGCACGTAGAGGAGCAGAGAAAGCAAGACCACAGAGCACGGAAGGACACATGCGAGTACACCGCGCAGGAAGGGGTCCAGTAAGCTCATGACAATGACCGTCCAAGATGCATCCAGACGGCGATGGTCTATATGTCGTGAGGGGTAGAATGCGCACTTGAACAGCGCATGAACAGAAGAGAAAGAAAGGTACACGAAGAAGGGAGGATTATTCCTTATCGGGAATTCCCTTGCTTCTTCTTCTGTCTGCTTCCGAACCGCATGGCGCAACAAACATATATAAACGACCATTTGATGTCCCCTCACTTCACACGACCATTGACATTTCCCCTCTTCGGACGAAGAGGACAAGTTATCCGGACGAATTGATCTTCTGCGGACGAGGACAAGAGTCCGCAAGGCTACATTCACCTTTGTATACGGTATCTACATGATCGCATGGAAAGACGTACACTCCTTAGCAATATATATTGTCATTGGTCATTGCATCTATACATCATTCTCTGCTCTTAATCGACCTTGGATCTCAGACCGTTACAGATTGCACCGCCTGTATCTCCGCCCTGTGTCCTTGAATGAAAGCCGAATCTTCCTCAGTAATCAAAATATCAAAATACTTCTTCAGCGCCTCAACGCGTTCCTCCTCCGTAGTAACCTGCTTCATCACCTCCGACTTGCCATTCAACCGTCTCTTAATCGCACCATTCATCATCGTCATCCTCCCGATCGTCCCGTCCTCCGCTCTGAACGGTCGCATACAGAGGATGTCTGTCCAGAAAGGACCGCACCCATCCGCCCGACCACAGAAGGCGAACGATAGCGCCTCGTAGTCGTTTGGGTATAGCTCAGCTTCCGAGAACTGGAATAGAGGGCGCCAAGGTGCGTCCACACCACGCCATTCGACTGTCCAGCCTGAGAGATCTCGCGTGGCCGCATTTAGCGGGTGACCTTTGAGGATCCGATGTTCTTCTGCTGCGGGGCCTTCCCGGGTCGCACCGTGTTTGAGCTCGATAGGGCCTATCAGGCCAGTACCTCCAAAGCCTGTGTCGACGAGATGGATCGGGGTGTCGATGGGGTGCACAAGGAGACAAGCATGGTTTAGTGGGGAATACCTCGGCGGGGCGTGTGGGTCCGACATGTGCAGCTCGTTCGCTCGAGCAGCAGCGGCGTACGCTGGGTATCCGAGTGCTCGGAGCATGCCGAGCAAAAGCCCGTTCTGGCCAAAACAGTAGCTGCCGCCTTTCCCATCGCCGACGAACCGCTGATAGAGCGCTTGGGGCTCGACGTTCATCACATGCGCTTGGGAGCTTCCAGGCGGTGAGCGTTGAGCGACGAGCGACGAGGTTACGGGAGAGGAAGGACATACTAGTGCATATCGGCATTCTCGAATGGGTAGGTGAAGAGATGCTGTAGGACGACCTTGCTCAATGTGTCGAGCGTCGGTTCTGGCAAGGGAGAGTCGAGCTCGAAGCCTGGATAAGCGGCTTTCTTCAGGTATGCTCGGAGCTGTTGTTCAGTGTAGTACGACGGTACTTTGTCGATGATCATGTTGACTGAGAGAGCAGAAGTTAAACCAGCATGAAGTGAGATAAGCTCGACGTCGACCCCAGAAGGACATTGTCATGGTCAGGTTGAAGTGGCCGGTGCAATACCGACGCGTACAGTGTCACGCGTGGCTCAACCACCAACCACCATCTTCACAGCATTTGAATCTAACAAGTTTGAATATAACAAGTCTAGATCTAAAAGAGGTATTAAACTGGACTTTATTGGTATTGTGCACCTGGATAAGCGCCAACGAAGAACATGCTAGCGACGGGTGCCTTGATATTGATCTCCAATCTGTGCCCAAACCTCCCAGCTCGGTCCATGATGCCAGCGAGAACATCCTCTTTCTATGTATGCCCTGGTTGAACTGCTTCGTGACAGCACACACCTACGTGCTACTTCTGTTGACTGCCTCTGCCGGCTAATCCTAATGCTGCTCGTCCCGATCAATTTCAACCTCTTCTCTTCTTTCTGTGGAGTGCCCACTCCACCGCACAGGCATCCCAATGTACAAATATCACCGAACACAATCTGATGCTGCTCCTGGTGATACTGCCTCTCGAACCCGCACCTACCGCCCATGGCCCACTACTCATCCTACAACATCCTCATCATCCTCATCCTCACCCTCGGCTCGATCTCCTACGGCTACGCATTCAGCGTGACCTCCAACACGCTAGGCCAGCCCGGGTTCCTACACTATTTCGGGCTAGACACCGATCCCGGGTACGCTAACTCCATCGAGGGCGCTATCAATGGGCTCTTTTCTGCCGGAGGGACGTTCGGCGCTCTCCTAGTAGGGTGGATGAACGACGCCCACGGGAGGAAGAAGACGATGAACCTCGCTGCAGTAATATGTATTGTCGGGAGCGCGCTGCAGGCCGGCTCGGTGGGCGTGACCATGTTCCTCGTCGCGAGGTTTGTGACAGGGTGGGGGATAGGAATGATGGTTGTCCTCATCCCGATCTTCCAAGCTGAGGTGTCGCCTCCCACGTCCAGGGGCCTCCTGGTAGGGCAACACGGTGCGCGAACCTCCCCTTCCCCGCATCGTCCCAGGAGAGCGAACGCTTACTCCGGGCACTGGATATACAGGCGCGTGGATCGTACTTGGGTACGCGATTGCAGGCTGGGTCGGCGTGGGCACGTTCTACTCCTCAAACCTAAGTTTCCAATGGCGCTTCCCTATAGCCGTCTCCTGCCTCTGGCCAGCAGCACTGCTCCTCTTCAGCCCCGGCGTGCCAGAGTCACCTCGTTGGCGTACGTTCCCTCCCTTCCCCTCGGTTTCGCCGCTCAACCCAGACAGTACTGCTCAAAGGCAGGCAAGCCGAAGCCTGGGCCATCATCTCCCGTCTTCACAGCCGACCTAACGACCCCGACCAAAGTTACGCCCAAGCCGAGTTTCGTCAGATGTCCCAGCAAGTGCTGCTCGACCAAGCGGCGTGGGAGCGCGGAGGGGGCCCGTGGCAGGTCGTCACCAAGCCTTCGTATAGAAAACGGATGTGGATGGGGTTCTTTACTCAGTATGCGGCGCAGACGACGGGGGCGATGGTCGTTTACAGTACGTATGCGCGGCGCTCGTGCTTTCCTTTCCTTTCGCAGAAACACTGACTGGGCTTATATAGATTACATCGTATTGCTGTATGAAGACCTTGGGTATACGGGAGCGACGGTCCTCATGCTCGGAGCGGGGTACGTCACTGTCGCCGCTGCCGCCAACTTCCTCGCGTCGTTCATAATGGACTACCTCGGCCGAGTACGTCTGTGAAGTACGTCCTCTCCCCGTTACAGTGTTCCATTCTGAGCAGCGAAGTCATTGGCCTGAGCGGGTGTATGCTCAGCCTAGCCTGCGAGAGCGCCATGACGGCGCAATACGCGGGCACGTCGAACAAAGCCGGGAACGCCTGGGGCGTCGTGTTCATCTTCATCTTTATCTTCTTCTACGCCGGGGGGATAGACGCGACGTCCTACGTGTACTGTTCCGAGATCTTCCCGACGCATATCCGGAGTCAGGGCATGGCGTTCTCCATGCTTGGCACGTTTTTGTCCACTGTCGCGTACCTCGATGCTGCTCCGACCGCGCTGGCGAGGATTGGATGGTGGTACTATGTGTTTTTTATATGTATGACGGCGGTGAATATCGGTGTGATGTGGTGGGTTTTCCCCGAGGTGAGTACGAGTATTGAAGTGCGGGACTCTGTTGAATTGTGTAGACTAAAGGGCTGTCGCTGGAGGAGATTAATGGGACGTTCGGGGATGAGGTTGTCTCGCCTCTGGAGGAGGAAAAAGAAGGTGAGAAAGGGGAAACTGAGGTGATTGAGAGAGTGTAATGTGTCGGGTGAGTGTCGGTTGTGTATTTTTTACTAAATGTTTATAAATGTATCGGATAAGTATTATTTCTGTACAGTTTTCCGAGATGAACGAACAACTAAAATTACACGAAATGATGGAAAGTAGACAATATTTTCTCATTCTATTCCCTCAACATGACACTTAACTGGTCAATATACATCTACAATCAGCTCATTCCAACTACACGTATTCCACTCACTGCCCTCACCGCCGTCTACCTCGTCTCTGCACAGCTGCTCGTCGCCCTCCATGCCTTCCTCAACGTCCGCCGTGCACCAACATGGCTGCACGTCGCCTTCCTCCCCTTCACTCTACTCACTATCATCCGATGTCATGCCAGTGTATACTTTGACAGTCCAGGGCTGAACATCTACAACGTCCGTCCCCTCCTTTTCCTTCACATCGTACACAAACATTAACGACATCCAGCAACTCCTAGGTGTAAGCGGAACGCTCATGCTCATCAAATCCGTCGAATACTCCTTCGTACCTATCAGCCGGCGTGTCCCCTCACCATCCCCCACCTGGCAGGAAGACGTCCAGCACACATTCTCCCTGCTTGCCGACCTGAGGGGGTTAGAGCACACCTACGGTCAGCGCTGTCCTCTTCCACCTTATCCCACTTCTCGCAGCGCATTCCTCTGGCATCGTACAAAGTGCCTCATATTCACCTTCCTCACATTCGACACCCTGCGCACCTTTGTCCGTCTCTTCGGTCCCCTAGGAACACCAGAAGGACGCAGCATCTTCTTCCCTTCTCTGCCCCTCATCCCCCGCTACATATTCAGCACCGCCCTAACAGGGGTAATAGGCACAGCGATCTACGCCTACGTATCCACTCTCCACACTCTTCTCTCCCTGCTGTTCGTCGGTCTACTACACGCACCCCCCTCGCTCTATCCGCCAGTGTTCGACCGCCCTTGGGAACTCACCTCTCTCACCCAGTTCTGGTCTCGCAGGTGGCACCAGCTCTTTCGCAGACCATTCGTCGTATGTTCCTGGCCCGGCCGGGCGTTGGCAGGGGATACGGGTGCGCTGGTCTGTGCCTTCCTGGCGAGCGGGGTGATGCACGAAGCGGGGATGAGGTGTATGGGCCGGGGCGGGAGTGGGTGGGCGACGATCGGGTTCTTCCTCTTGCAAGGAGTAGGTTGCTCGCTCGAGCAGTCCTTTGAGCAACTCACGGGGAAGCGGGTAGCAGGCACGGGTGGGGCGATATGGGCTTGGTGCTGGCTGCTTGTTACTGGCCAGGGGTTTGCGGACGCCTTCTGTACACGGGGGACGCCGGGGGGAACGTTATACCCCGAGTGGATGAGTGCTTGGGAAATTGGGTTGAACATGTTTGGTATTTATACTCGGTGAATACAGCTTGCTTGGACGACGGCAACGGCAACGGCAACGGCTACTCCCCTTCGGACTCGTCAATCGTCTGCAGTTCCTCCTTGAACACTGGCTCCCTCACCTCTTCGTCCTCGTCCTCGTCCCACACAGCCTGCATCTTCTCTCTCTCTCTCTCCATCTCCTCCTCTCTCCCCTTCTCCTCTTTCTCTCTCTCCAGTCTCCTCTCCTCTCCAAGAAGCATAACGTTCCACCTCCTCCATGCTTCCCACTCGCTCACCACGCTCACACCGCACCAGGCCTTGAACACTTGCACGAGGATGACACGCTCAGGGTGGGAGAGGGAGACGCTGTGCCCTTCCCCCGGGACGCACGCTGCGAGCGGGGGGATGAGCGTTTCGCGCGAGAGCTTCGTGTTGTTGATTATCGGGAGCTCGATCTTAAACTATCCAACATATAAGCTCACCCGTACTGCCAACCCACCCTTGTAGAGTAGGCCCACACACACCTTATACGCCCTCCCAGCATCAAACGTCCCTTTCATGACCCTCCTCGCTAGAGCTACGATCTCAGGAATATTGGCAGCGCACACACCTTCAGCGGGTATGAGGCGGTTGACGTAGCGCGTCCTCGGGGGTTGGGAGGAGAGGGATGAGAGGTAGGCATGGCATAGTTGAGTTGGGGAGATTGGGGGACGGCAGGCGATGAATAGGACTGTATAGAGGATGTGTAGGACGTGAGCAGGTGGTTGGGAGAGAGAAGAGGACGACGTACGGCAGGGAGTCTCTGTGTGAACGTTGGCTGTTCCCCGTCAGCTAGTGCATTGGTGACGGACAGATGCAATGGACGCACAGAACCGTTTCTCTTTCCTAGGCCGCTTAAGTGCTTGAAGTTCGCGTGCTATCTCTGCTTCTATGTTGAGCTCGACGTCGGCGTCGGTGTTGGCATTGACATTGGCGTCAGGTTCGTTCTCCCCCGAGTCTGACACTTCTGTTGTAGACTCTGTCGTCTCGGGCCATAAATCTGCTGCGATCTGCCCACCCGAGTCAGCCATTGCCTCGCACAAGGAAGATATGGGGCGCACTGCTTCGAAGACGTCGTATAGTTCGCTTACGGACTGTTTTTCTTTTCCTCGAACGCAGGTGACGAACACTCCTGGACTGGTAATGCCTGTCTGCTAGGAATGGTGAACGGTGTTCTAGTTGGGTGAGGATGGGTTGGACACACCTTTTCTCGCTTGAAATAGTTGATTCGACTCTGTTTAGTGCGGTTGCGGGACATTGGAGAGCAGGAGAGGGAGACGGGCAGGTTGGGAGAGAGTAGGGTAGAAATTGCAGTTCAGAATTACACGCCGTCCCTTTCCCTCCCACCACCACCAAGGATGGCCCAACGCACGCAATTCGAAACAGACGCTATCCGTCCCACAGGCCTGTCATCTACCATCGCCGCCCAGCACAGGGTAGACGACAAGCTCAACTCTGCAGAGTACCTCGATGCTGTGGAGGAGGAGTGGAACAAGCGGGTCGACGCAGAGGTGGAGACGCTCGTTGGGGGCATGCAGGATCTTGTCGAGTTGGCTGTTGTGCGTTCCTTCATACAAGAGTACGGCCGTGTTGAGAACTAAAGAGAATGCACAGGTCGGGGAGAAAGATAAACATCGGATGTACGAAGAAGCGTTCGAGACGGAGATGAGGGCGGAGAATATGGTCCGCGCTGCCAATTCTCTCCTGTCGATCGTCCATTCCCTCAAGCTGATGATATTGCTCTCTGACGAGGGCCAGGTGGTGGAAAGGCGCCAGAAGGAGCTGGCAGACATTGAGAGAGATATGGAACTGGCTAAGGAGAGGGCGGCGGTGGAATGGAAGAAACTTGTTGATGGGGAGGACGTTGGCGAGGTTGAGGATAATGAAGATCAGGATATGGACGAGTAACACAACGAAAAGCAAGAATAATTCACTGGATACTACTTGGAAAGGTAAGTTTATCTGTGCATTTTGAAGATTGCTATGAGTTCATATGACAGTACAGCACTGTCCTCTTCTCCATGGACCACTCAGCACGACCGAGGATTCGAATACGACGACCAGCCTTGCCACAACAGCACATTCATACCGCATTATTTGTACCTGTCGTCGTGGAATCTCTCTCTTCCTTTAAGGCAGCAGCTTGGTCTTTATATACCAGGAGGACTGAACAGGTGGACAATAGCCTTACTGCTCGCCAGTGGAGGACACTATAGTCTATTCTGGCAAGATTGTACGCTTTCTTTGCGCATCCATTGGATTCTCTGCACCTGGATCTGTTCTTTATACCAAAGTAAAGTGAAGAAACTGTATTTCTAATGTATGAATACATATAATTTTATTCTTTCACTATCGTCGGCCATAACCACACTCCCTAACTCCGACATACCCAAAGGATCCGCAATTGCCTCCATCCCTCTTGCTCTCCTCGATAACCCTCACACACCCGTTCCCAATTCGAGGATCTCCTCCCCCCACAGCAAGCCAACGAGATGGGCTTCTTCCTAAACAACATCATCGGGGGCGCCCTGTTTGGTTTGGCAGTGAGGATGTGGCAACTGGGGCTTGTGAATAGGCCGGTGTTGAAGCCGAATGGTGGGTGGTTTTGACCGCCGGGGCGCGTGGTCGGAGTGGAATGTGCTACGAGCGCAACATGATTTGGCAGTGGCTGCCAAATGCTGGCACGGGTGTAAGACATCCTGTTCCGTACCTGGACATTCCACCGCCCTTCTGTCGACTTCGGATAGACACTCCAATGCTGACCTCCTGCGCAGAACTATGGACACACGCATCCTACATGTTCGCCTTCGGCTGGGGCGGGTACGGCCTCGCCCACCTCGAGCTCAAAGTGAATTCCCGCCTTGCAGAACTGCGCGACATGCGGCTTCAAGCGAAGGAGATCGCCTGGGAACGAGCGGCAGAGAGGCGTAAGCAGATGGGCGTGCCCCCGGAGGAGGCGGAGCGACATGTCGAGATCGTGAGGAAGATTAGGGAGTTGCAGGATAAGCTTGATGGGACGGCACCGGGGTCGCACTGAGTGGGAAGAGAGGATGGGCTAGAGCGGTGGAGACTGCGAGATGTCCTCGAAAGCGCTAGAAGCGCAAATACACGCCGTGCAAGGCGTAACCAATATTTGCACGCTAATGTATAAGAGCCTTTCACCACCATGGACGACGATCTCGAGATGAAATGTCCTGTTTTCATTCGAGTTTGCGCTACTGGGTGGGTACATGGGCGGCCTCAGCCAGACGGTGAACATGATGGAAGTGTTGATAAAAAGGAGAGTACGGGGGTGGGTATGGAGAAGTGAAGGTGGTCAGACAGAAGTAACCAGGGGCGGTAACAAGAGCTTATCCGTGTATATGCTCGTGTGGTGCCGCAAAAGCATGGACAAGAAGTGAAGAGCGCGAAACAACAAAAGAACGTTCGAAGGCAAATACCCTGATGATACAAGTAATACGAGAGAACCAGTGAATGAAAAAGTGCAGCGAGGGTGACGAGACGCTCGGCGTCTGTGTGCACACACAGCGTCCTTCTGTCGTGGACAAGGACCAGAAAGGTGAAGGGATACAAGTTCGGAAGGTGACGCGAGGCCTACAGTTGCTGTACATCGCCCTTTAGCTTTTACGAATGCCGGCAGAGGCGGACCAGGAAAAGAATGGGTCGAAAATTGCCGAGGTATACCAGAAACCAAGCGCAAAACGTATTTGACATGAAGTGTGGTGTGCAATGAAGTCTGGATTAATGGTGCTTCAGCCGTGCTTGAATGATTGCAATTGTAACGATGGAACCCTTTGTATGTGGGAGAATGATTGCACGTGAGTTGGACGAGACTGAACAGAAGCTTGATTCGATTGATATCGGTTATCGGGGGAGGGGCCAGATTGATTGTGGTATACAGCGTGTACCTGCTAGCAGAGGGTGACTGGGTCTGTGGATTTGGAAGTCTTATCAACTCAAGCGACAACCCTCTTGATTTCTTCGAAAGGGCTGTCAAGAGGAAGATCTTTCTTCGCACGCACAGCCGTCCTGGAGCGGCGTGAATGGGACGGGGTGTTCTCTTTGTCATGTTCGGCTGATTTCTGCGACTCGCGCTCGAATGCTTCTTGTGCGGCGGTGGCGGCATGCGCATCGGCCTTGGTCTGGGAGCGTGTCCTGACACGCCCAGGAGTCGACTGAGGGGAGATGGTGGGGGGGCCCGCAGGTGTGGAACGCGTGCGTGTAGCGACAGTCCTGCGCACTGGAGTGTGGGGAGTGACGATCGTCTCTGGCGACATCAGGACGGCCGAAGAGGATTCTGGGGGAAACAATCCTGCGAGACCGGGCAAAGGACCACCAAGAAAACTGGGAGAACGAGTCTTCTTCGCAGCAGTCTTCCTCTTCTTCGTGGGGTTATTCGCGTCAGGACTGCCTTCCGGAACATCGGCACTGCTTCCATAAGATGGAGCTCGTTTCAGCGCCCGAAGTGTCGCAGGTTCGGAACCCGCTGGCTCAAAGACCGCCGTGGATGATGCCATACGCCGAAGTGCCGGAGTACTTGGGGGAGGGATATCGATAACCGAAGGAGTCACAGGTGCGAGGGGTGCGACGTTCGTCCTTGTCCTAATTAGTGGTCGAGGAAGGCTTTGATACGTGATCGTGATGGTCTGAGGAGGCTCCTCGTTCACTGCTGCGGCAGTTGTACGACGGCTAGAGCGTGAGCTGTTAGGAGGGCGAAGGGTGGGGTCCAAAATCTGATCTAAGCGCTGCATTCGACGAGAAGCACTGGACGCATACATTCAGCTTTTGCCTCCGATATAATGCGATAGGCCACTCACGCTGCGACACGGTCTTTCCCATTGATCGGCAGGAAGTCCATACTGTCAGATCTGTGTAGGGATCGCTTGTTGGCTCCATCTGCACGTTCAGGATCGCGTCCCAGCTCTCTCAGTTCGCGGGCTTTCACTTCGGCGATCTCGCGCAGCTTGGCCCTGGTCTGTGCCAGCGTGTACGGCCAGCCCGTCTTGTTCTCCTTCATATCCTTGAGGATGCCCTTGGCGAGGTTCTGCAGCAGGTTGGGAGGAGGGATATTCCCTACGTAGGGAGTAGTGAGATAGTCGGGGAGGGAGTCGAGAGCCTATGATAAAAGGTGAATTGACGCGCATATAGCCACAATCCAGGGCCACGTACCCTTCCCAGCACCTTCTCATGTTCCTCCTGCCATTCGGGGGGCTCGAGTACCAGGGAACTCATCCCACTGATGCCGCTGAGACCAGACTCTTCGCTGGCATAGCTGGTGAAGCTGTCCGTACTGCGACGCCGCCTCATGGATCTGAGGGAGTAGCGCACAGGAAGCATCGAGAATCCATACGGTTCGGAGGGGATAGGAGTGTGTGGGGAGAGCATAAGGTTAGGGGGTAACACGGAGGATGTTGAGGACACGTCGAGTTTGAGAGCGTGCGTCTGGGAACGCGTAGAGATAGGCATTGCTGGTTGGACGCGAAGCACGTGTGTTTGCTGGAGTCGTCCAAGGACAGCGCTGGTGTGGATTGTGGAAAGTAGTAGAAGTCAAGCTCGGTAAAGGCACAATTGATACAACGGGTTGAAAAGGAGGAGAGAAAAGTCGAAGCTGGGTAGAAGGAAGGCGGAGGTCGAGGAGGAGGAGGAGGGAGGGAGGCGGTGCTGACGGAGGGAGGGGGACAGGGGAAGGGAGAGGGAGAACAGACACGGTGAGGGACCCCTCTCTTTACATGAGACGCGCCCCGAATGAGTCGCGTGTGATCTGATTCCGGGGACTGTCCGATTTGCCTCCGTCTTTGCGAACGGTCACCGCGCGTCCCCGAACTTCGGCTTGCTTTTGCCTTGTGCTTCTTTCTTTTCTTTCGACGCGTTCCTGCCTTTTATGGAAATTGGACCGCATCTGTTTCGGGGTCTCGTGTCTCATCCCCATTCTCCTCCTCATCTTCCTGCGCTCGAAGCCCCCATCATTGATAGCGTATTTCTCGGCGGCGAATCTCCATCTTCTCTCGCATCATCACCTGCGCCTCCAACATTCTGCAGAAGGTGAGAATTTGCAGCTGGTAACCGCCCACAGAGACGGTGTGACGAGACGAAGATATTCGTATCTTTATCACCAAGGAGAAGAAGAGGAGAGGGAAAGGGTGTGCTTGTGTGACGAGGTCGAAGTGTTGTACGACGTTCTCAACGTGATTACAGCCTTGGAACCGTCATTCTGCGCTGTATCGTCCTTACGGCACCACGCCCCACAACCGTTCATTTCAGTCGCGACTGACATATTTAATGTAAGTCGCGCTCTGGTGTATCTCTGCCACAGCAACACGGTAACCGGTCTCAAGCCCACATCGCAGGGGCCTCTTGCAGCCACGAATGATTGATTCTCACATGGAAACGTTGCCCTTGATGCCCTGGAATGTGTGGTGATGCTGTCGTGGCGCCGTCGGGAGCCGAAAGGGCAACCGTGAATCAACAGCGGAGACAACCACAGAACAATTGATACGTAACATCGCCGGGCCGTCACTCTCTTGCTTGTCTACCCTGACTCGAAGTGTGATTGTCAGCCCTTTTCATCATCAAATTCTGAAAATTACCATTGTCTGCAACATATCACAATCGAAAAGTGCGCTATTCCTTTCTTACATCTCAGTTTTCTATTTATGTATTTCGTGTTTTATTTTTTTAAATGCTAGGTGGCTTGCCAAGACATTCATCGAACATCACGCGTTTCACTCCAGTCGCCACGAAATTCCTGGAAGCAGTCGTCTTAGCAATATAAGCTCGTTCTTCCGATATAAACTCGTCTTCTCCATCTTTGTCACCCGCTTTATCTTTAAAGTCCATCTCACTGCCTTTTGCATGCGGTGAAAAAGCACCATTATTGTGCCAGCAAAAGCGCTTTTCCTCCCATGCCCTCCCCCTTCTGCACGCTTCCGATCCATAGAACACTACACGCTAGCCCTGTTCAGCGGACGCGAACTAGCCTAGTCGGTTAATGTTATTCACTAGGCGGCACGCAAATTTATGGTCGTGCGGACGAAGATTTATTATCACGAGGCTGCGTTTCAAGAAAGAAAGAAAGAAAATTGGTCGCCACAGAACACGTCTGGTGATTTGATGTCGGGCTCATACACCGCGTCTGATATGGCGACAGAGATTCTGGGGGGATCTGGGATATACGTCTGTCCTCGCCGGTCATTCGCTGATTATTTCGTGCACCTGTACGACGTTGACGCTGTTCAATTGATATACGGGTGAAACGTCTTGCTTGTGTACGATGAAGCAGCATGTAAGCGAAGAGTGAACGGAAGCAATTCGAGAGCTTCGCATCGTGGCGGCGCAAGAGTGAGCGCGTCGTCACCGTCGAGGACGTCGTCCAGAGTGCATACATCCAGCTCACCGCTTCTTCCAACATCCTAGTCTACCCAGATGGCAGCGCCCAACTCAGCCACACTAGAAAGCAACCAGTTTATCGTCGCTGACGAGGAATATGACGAGGACTCCATACCTGGGTACACGCTTCCCCAGCCTTCACCCAACGGCGCAGGACCAACGACGCCCGGCACCGCAGGAGCAGGGAAGGGCAAGGGCCGTGCACCGGAGCAGCTGGCACCGCCAAGTAACGTTAATGAACTGTCGGGGAGGATTGGAACGCCTTCGGGGAGCGGGTCGAGGAGTCCCAACACCAATAAGTCACAGACGATTGCGGGCGTGAGGCTGGAGACGAGGTACACGGGTGTGGACTCCCTAGACGAGCCGGTGACGACGACGCTGGTACGCTCTCTTTGGTGTGCGGCTTGCGTGGTACTTATTCGCCATAGGCACGCGACTTGCTCTCCATCTACTCAAAAGTGGTCCAAGTGTTGTGGCCTCGGCGAAAGGGCCAAGCACGCGAAGTGTTGAGGTGCGCTCACTCTCCTCCTTATCCACAGTTCGCTGATCAGCATGCATGAACGCAGGGACTGGGACCTCTGGGGCCCCTTCATCTTCTGCCTGAGCCTAGCGATCATGCTCAGCATCAACGTACGTCTCCCTCCCCCATCGTGCACCCCCAACTCCAGTGCTCATCCCCTCCCAGGCCCCACCCACCCAATCCCTAGGTGTCTTCACAGGCGTAGTCGTCATCGTCTCCGTAGGCTCCGTGATCATCACCTTCAACGCGAAGCTCCTCGGCGGGCGAGTCTCCTTCTTCCAGAGCCTGTGTGCATTGGGCTACTGTATTTTCCCACTCGTGGTCGCCGCGCTCGTGGGCACGTTTGTGCATATCCTGTTGGTCAGGCTGCCTGTTACGCTTGTTGCGCTTGCTTGGTCCGTATGGGGTAAGCACCATTGAGGTTGCGTAGGAAGAGGAAGCTGATACCTGCTCAGCGTCTGTAAACTTCCTCGATGGGACGCATATCGAAACCCAGCGGATCCTCCTAGCTGTGTATCCACAATGGTACATCTCCTTTCCCTCGACGCTTCAAACTCTGCTCACGCCTTCCCCCGCAGTCTGTTCTACTTCGTACTCGCATGGATGATCCTCATCCAGTAGCTTACTTTGCGAATGGATAATTGCATGCTAATTGGGGATGAACCTGCCCTACTACCTGCACGGGGCAAAGGGAAAGATTGGGCATAAATATCCTACCTTGCTCTCACGTCTGAGTAGTGACATACATACTACTCTGCATATTCCTATGCGCAATGCTTCACTCTCCTCCACTCCAAGCAATCGGACTCGAGTCGTTCTACAGCTCCTCCCTAACCCTCTCCGTCGCCTCCGCACCCTTCTCGCTGCCAGCGTTGAACACGTGCTGCGCCTCGTCCGCCGCTTCCTTAAGCTTTTCCTCCACGAACGAAGCAAGGATGTTAGCTTTGCGCTGAATCTCGTCCAGTTTCGCCGGGGCGAGCGTCTTCTTCTGGAGGATAGATGCGAGCCTGCACAGCGCATGAGTAAGAACGGCACAAGCGGTAGCGAGATAGCATGTAGACGTACCGCGCGCTCTCCTTGTGCAGCCATTCGCCAGACTCGGATACCTTGTTCATCACACGGAGGTAGTAGTCACCGCTTGTCTTCTGCGCTAGCTCGAGCGCGGCTGCTGCGGAGGAAGCTTCTTTCAGGAGGGTGTCGCGATCGGGGATGGAGGAGTAGAATTTGGAGGCGAGGGAGTCGAGCGAGGGGATACGGCCGGCCTGTGAGATGCAATTAGAATGGATGAATAAGGGTTAGGAATGCACGTACAAGGCTGTTAAGCACACCACCAGACGAGCGGAAAGTCCCGCAGCGCTCGTTCAAGAATTCCACAAATTGCTCCTCGCTCCTCCCCTGCATGTAGTCCTCAGCAACCTTGTCATTCCCACGGGGGAAGAACTTGATCGTAGGATAGGAATTGACGTTGTACCGTCCTGCGATGGGCTTGTTCGTCGCGGCGTCGGCGTCGAACTCTGCGATGACGCAGGCGGGTTCGGACTGGAAGTCTTGTGCGACTTTCTCCAGCGTGGGCTTGAGGTTCTTGCAGTGGCCGCTGTGGGATGTGAGAGGGCTGCCAGTTTGCGAAGAGGGGGACGTACCACCAGGGAGCGGTGAAGGCAACGAGCACGTCTTTGGACGGGTCCATCACTACTTCGTCAAAGTCGTGCGACTGGAGGATCTGGCGAGTAGGGGGAGGGGGGCCCTTAGCCTTGACGCCGGACTTGGACTCGACGCTTTTTGCATGTTAGCTGTGGTGTTCATCAGACGACATAAAGGCGTACAAAGAGATCAAGGCGTCGAGATCCCTCTGTCCCTCATACGGCTCTGGCTCGAGTGAGCCCGCCGGGAACCACTTCAGTGCTAAGCGCTTAGTCAGCCTTCCATTTCCACACACTGTAGAAGAGACGTACTAGGGAATCCAGTGACACCAAACCGCGCACCAGCCTCCTTGCCCGCACCGTCAGCATCGACCTTGGCGATGATGACCTTTTGCGTGTGGGAGTAGGCGTCAGCGAGCTGCTCGTACACAGGTGCAAGGTTCTTGCAGTGTCCGCTATTAGAACTGCTCAGCGTAAACTCCGTATATCAGTAGATAACGCGTACCACCAAGGGGCAAAACTAGGACGCGTCAGCTCAGAACGCGAAATAGGCAAAAAGAGAGCTCACAATTCTACCAGAGCGGGAGCGTCCCCACCGATATGCTGGTCAAATGTTGTCGATTCGAGTTCGAGGACGTTGCTAGCGAGCACTGTCGCTGCAAATGCTGCAAATAGAGATATGTAAGTGAATTTCATCCTTATTTTGAAGGTGGTTGCTGTGGTCGAAGGAGTGAAGAGTGAAGGAAAAGCACAAATGGTCGATGGGATGGGATTTCGAAGCGTAACAAAGCGACAGGGCAACACAGGAGGACCCTTACTCACGAGAACACACGACGTGTCCATCGGAGTTATTCCATCGGAGTTAATGAGATTATGTAATCGGTGATTGCGTTTTTCGCTTCCATTAACGATGACTCTGACTGAGCAATGAACAACATCGGTCAGCAGGGGTCCACAACAGTTTAAAATCAACTTTTTCTGCTTAGAACAATATCTTTTGTACTTGTATACCCACCAAAGCTGCACTCTAGGAATGGCTACCAACCAGGAGCACGAGCACGAACAGGAGGAACACGAGATCGTACCCGATGTCGATGATGGGGAGGAAGACGTCGAGGAGTATATCAACCAAGAGGATATCGAGATCATATACGACGACGATGCTGACGTCCCCATGGACGAAGATGCGGAAAGGGAAGGGGAAGAAGAAGAGCCTGAGCCTACGGAGAACACCTCTGTTGTCTCCTTTGCCCAGCATGGCAAGTCCGTCTTCTGTGTCAGCATCCACCCTACCCAACCGCTCGCTGTCTCTGGGGGTGAAGACGACCTCGGGTATATCTGGTCACTCCTTACTGGGGAGGTGGTCACCAAGCTCTCGGGACACGAGGATTCCGTCGTAGCTGCGGAATGGAGCGCGGATGGGGAGATGGTCGCTACAGGGGGCATGGATGGGCGTGTGAGGATCTGGCGCAGGGTGGGGAAGGACGGGTGGGGCATGTGGGAGTTCTTGACTGAACTCCAGGGGCCGGATGAGGTCATGTGGTTGAAGTGGCATCCCAGAGGACCGGTGTTGCTGGCGGGGAGTAATGATAGCACCGTATGGTTGTGGCAACGTGAGTCTTTCCATGTCTAATTGGAGGAGTGCTAATGCGTTACAGTCCCGTCGGGAAACACGATGCAAGTGTTTGCGGGACATGAAGGCCCGGTACATACAGGTGCATTCACTCCCGACGGAAAGCGGATCGTTACTGCCGACTCGGCGGGTACGCTCATCGTCTGGGATCCGCGTTCCCCAACACCGCAGTTCAAGCTCTCCCCTTCCTCTCACTTCCCATTCGAGAGCGGCATCACCTCCCTCGCCGTGAACCCCGCGTGCACCCTCGCGGTCGTGGGCGGTGCGGAGGGGGCAGTGCGTATCGTCAACCTGGGGAAGGGTGAGGTGCTGGGCGGCGTGGAGGGGCATAGGGAGGGAGAGAGCGTAGAGGCAGTCGAGTTTGTCGAATTGGTGGGTGCCGGTGTCAGCGCTGGCGGGGTAGTCGTCACCGGTGCTACGGATGGCAAGGCATGCGTGTGGGATGTGGGTACGATGCGGTTGAGGGTCACTCTGGAGCATGACGTGAGTTTCTACGTCTTGCCCTCGTAGCTTGCATTAACCGTCGCCAAATTCCAGGATGCGGTCACATCCCTCCATTCTCACCCTTCCGCTCCCCATCTGCTCACTTCCGCCTCGGCCGACCGCACACTCAAAACCTGGGACACGCGCACAGGCCAGCTGGTGAAAGAGCACAGAGGCCACCGAGGGCCTATCAACGCGGCCAGCGTGAGCGCGGACGGGAAGTGGGCTGCGAGTGCTGGTGATGAGGGCGTGTGCCTCGTTTGGAATCTGACGCCTTAGATTGTTCTGTCCTTGTCGCTTATATGGAGATTGGCCCGTGGGGATTGAATAATGATGAGAAATTGTTCTGTAAATTTCTGAGGGATATCCGCTCGTCTAAGTATTATTATGATATGATTGGACCAGCACAGCGTTATTGTCATTGTCATTGATAGGACAATACTCCGTAATTATTCCAAGAGAAAAAAGAGGCATGTGATGCATAGAATTGTTGACACGGAGCGTAGTACTGCCACACAGAGCGCATCACCGCAACACCAACGCCGCCGTCCTTTCTCCACAACGACGACCATCATCCACCAACAGCCAACCATCGACATCCACGCCAACAACGGCGACGAGCAGGATGCCTGGTATTCTTTCACCTGTAGACATCGGCCTGGAGATAGAAGTACGCATGCCTCGGCCTATGCGCAAGAAACGCCGGCCACACAAACGGGCTCCACCTATTTGGTCTTTCCCGCCTTCTATCCCCCGCTCACCAACGACCAGCACTCCCGAACTGGAGGCACTCATCGCCCACATGCTCCTTCTCCGGTATGAGCAGGACATCGCTAGGCTCTTTTCGGTGCATGTGGATGCTATTGCGCGCAGGCTCCTGCCGAAGATCCTCGAGAGGCTGACACTGACCGCTGCTGGGCCGGGGTGGTGTGCCGTGCATGCGAGGGATGAGGGAGTGAGGGACTTCTTTAGGGGAGTACTGGCGATGGATCTCAGGCAGGCGGGGGAGAGAGTTGCGCCCCGGAGCTTGGAGTGGAGTTATACCAGTTTAAGGCATTTCGTGAGTGTCGACCCGGACGCGACTACTTCGTTCTGGAGACGAACTGACGCGAATCCAGGCGCTCAGCAACGATATCCATATCTGTGAAAGTGGAGAGCACGGACTGCAGTCCTACCGTCTCCTCCCGCATCTTTCAGCTCTTCAGGCATATGTCAAGTCCCTGCACTACCAACCCGCGCCTGCGTTCACCCCCCCAGCATTCAAGGGCGACTACTCTGCCATGCCGTTCATCGAGCGCCTTAGGAAGATACTGGAGCCTCTCGGGGAGCTCGCTGGTGAGAAGGGTTTAGGAGCGGGGAGCGATACCGAAGGCAGGAGCATTTGGGAACCTTTCCCTCCCTGGATCGGATGGGAGAGCAAGGCCGAGCTGGGCTATGCACGTATGGTCGACACCCTCTGGAGTGTGGCGCGCGAATTCGATCCTCGTGGATATGGCGTGGTGCTCAAGCAGAAACTGAGCAATTGGTGCGATTGTGGTTGTAGCACGGAACATCTTGGAGAGGTGTGCGAGAGGACTGTGAGGGAGGATCTGGCGCAGAGGCTCAAGGCGGAAGGAAAAGAGGGGTTGGATACACGGCATGTGCACACCCATGAGCACGCGCATGTGCATAAAGACGACGGGGAGTGCGGCGGAACATGGATGCCAAGGAGGGAGAAAGGGAAGGGCAAGGAATGGGATGGGCGGGGCGGGGGAATACTTGGCTGGGGGACGACGGATGAGGAGGATACGTGGGACAAGACTCTGGATCTGGGTGGGATCGAAGACAGTGACGACTGGGAGGACCAGATGACGATGGGCGAGCAGATGGAGTGGAGGTATCTCAAAGCTGAACGAGAGAAAGAGCTGGTCAGTTGTTACCTTTCTGCCCTACCGATACCTGTGCTAATGTATTTGGTGGTGTTTGCAGGGAAACGCTGCATACAAGCTGGGCAAGTACGCGACAGCGATCAACTACTACCTCTCGGCGGACACTATCGAGCCCGAACTTCCGCACTACAAGCTCAACGCCGCACAGGCCTATCTCCAACTTGCGGACTGGCTGTCTGCCGAACGCCTGTGCACCAGTTGCCTCAAGCAGCACCCCTGTAGCGTCAAGGCTCTCTGGAGGCGGGCAAAGGCGCGCAGGATGCAGGGGAAGCATCAGGGTTCAGCGAGGGATTTGCGGACGTTGTTGACTGTGCAGCCTGGGAATAGGGAGGCGATGGAGGCGCTGGAAGCGCTTCGTCCTGCGTTGGAGAAGAAGGATCCCCATGGCGCGCTCTGCCCTGGATGTCTAGGCTCTTGCACGCACGCGTCCACCTCTGCCGCTGCGTCCTCTCTCACCCTCGCCAGTGACCAGACTGCCGGAAAGCGGGAACAGGACGATGTTCCTTTCGAGATGGACGAGTTCGACCGCACGCGATTGACCCTCGTTACGGTACCTGTGAGCTTGGTCATGCCCGACACTGGGATGGAGGAGTCGTTTGCCTATCCAAGCTGGGAGCGGTACCGAGTCGAGCGGTTGGATTGAGGGAACGCGTTGCTGTCTGAAGTATAACAACGTTCTGTGACGTTCTTATGCTCTGTTCTCCCTTCTCTATTTATTCCCTTCCCTTCTGTTCTCATTTCCCCTGACTATGGTTCTTCTGCCGGTACATGATGCTGTTCTCGCTGTGTTCTGTTTTGTTCCTTTTGGGCGAAGAACATGTTGTACGACTAGGTATGTCGATATCGAACTGTATCTCGTATGCTCCTTTCCACTTATCGACTTCTTCATATACTCAGTCGGGGTGATTGACTCACAACTGGCCAACATCCGCGTCTGGTGTAGCCTCCGTTACCTTGCCAACACGAGTCACATTCCGGTGGCAGTGGTGTACATTACATTACCCTTGTGTGTGAATGAACCCTACCATCATTGATCATCTCATGTCACTCCTTTCTGGTGCGGACGTCTAACGTATTATGATTGTGGAACGGCGTCGCGAAGGGACTCAGCGCTTGCGACAGACATACGACAATATATCCTCACCAGAGATGTGGACCAAATCGGTGGACCAAACACGACAGGGACGGGTCGCGCACTGGCCTGGCCCTTTTATCTGCCGCTCCTGGGACGAGGATTGTTCTCCATTCCCCTTCACCCCTCTTTACCTTCTGGCCTGACTTGCTCACCTTCAAGAGCTTTCTTTCCTTCACTATATTGTCCGACTGGCTTGGCTGGACTGCACATTCTTTCATTCTACGCGCCAATCCGGCACCTCCTCTCCCTCAGAACACACTCCCTTCTGCTTTCATCTTCCTCGGCCGGCTGATTTGCGAAACACTTTAGAAGCAGGAAGAAACGAGGATGATTCTCTCCTTGATCATAGCTGCTTCTCTTTCGGTGCTGCCTGCGGCAGCTCACCTCGGTATGTTATGCCAAATATATTGTCAAGCCATATGATAACCCGTCTGCAGCACCATTCCATCCTTCGATGTGTACGCGTCTTACCTTACCACATCCAACTTATCACTAATGATCCTACAGATGGCTTTAACTGGACGACTTTACACATCTCCACATCGTATGACAACCGTCCCGTCGCACCCCTTATGGGTCTCACCTTCTCTGAATGGTGGATGCACGGACACATGGACCTCCCTCCGAACCCGGGCGACTTCCTCGAGCTCCCAGCGGGTGGCAATTTCCAGGTGCAGATGGCGTGCGATAAGAGCGCTACAGATTATTGGAACACCAGCGGGCAGGCAGATTTCAGAGATGGGGAATGGCCATGTCCTGGAGCGAGTTCCGTCGGTGCGTCTGTTATGTGTGTCATACTTATACTTAGCTGATCCTCTGTCTGGATACGACTAGAATTCCACACGAAGGACATCACCGACACCAAAGGCTGCGCGTTTGGCATCGCCTACAAATCCGACATCTATTCTGTGACGCCAAACGACATCACTATCTTCACTGTGAACTATACGTGCCCCTGGTACCGGACGCAGTGGTTCGAAGTACCCGCCGACCTGCCCCCGTGCGACGACTGTATCTGCACGTTCAACTGGATCCATTCTCCTGATAGTGGATCACAGCAGATCTACCAGAATGGGTACAAGTGCAAGGTGCTGAATGATGGGCCGGGAAAACAGCTCCAGACCCCGCAGTTGGCAAGGAGGTGCGGGCCGGACCCGTATCTCAACAGACCGGCAAATGCGAGCAACTGCACGGGAGGAGTGGAAGGAGGCGCAAAGCTGGGCATGTACTGGCTCCAGGCGGATGGGAATAACGTGAGTTTTAGAGTGGTCTTGCTGTCCTTCGAGTCTAATGACTGGTAGATGTTCGAAGATTATTACCACCCGCCGCTGTATGACGACCTGTACGGGTTCATGGACGGCGCACAGACGGATATCTTCGTACGCGACGGCGCAGCCCCCACAACCACCACTGCCTCCAGCTCAACTATGGGCGTCGGTTCCGCAACGACGAGTACGGCAACCACCTCGGGTTCGTTTAGCAGCTCCAGCTCCAGCTCGTCCGTGGCGACGTCTTCGGTGTCCGGAACTAGTGGATCGAGTACCAGCACCGTCTCGTCCACTACCACCTCTTCCACCCCCACGTCCTCCGTCGCTGCTCCGGCGGGCGCGGGTGTGTCAGCGCCCACGCCCCACACCCAGCCATCCAGTAACACATGTGGGACGATGCGCAAGCGCACCCTTTCTTCAAGAAATAACACCAAGCCCTCCAAAAGGGACGGCAAGAAAAAACTGTCTTCGAAACGGTCTAAACGTGCAGCCGGCGAGAGAGCAAAACGTCATAGCCGCAGAGAGGGAAAGAAGCGGCATGCGAAGATTCATTAAGCACACCTTCGGGAACGTGGGCCACTCGGGTGGAGTGGCACAAAGGTCGACGTTCCTTGATGGGACATCAACTGTTCTTGGGATATCCAGCTGGCGCGAGTCGCCAGCCTTCACTCTGATCAACATCCACTTGGGGGATTAGGTAGGCTCTCTGAACGGAATTTGTTCGCCAGGCGCGAGTCGCCAGCCGTCGAGCAACGCATCTTTCTGGGCTGTCTGATGTTTGTTGTACAACCGTCATTTTGTTGATTGATGTATCCCGTACACGCGAAAATGTACCTCACGTTCTCTCAGCCCAAAGTTCTTAGGCATCTCCTGCCGAGTCACATTACAACACAGCCACCCACTCATGAATTTCGCGCGGCTTCTCACGATCGCGATGCCGACCAGACAAGGAGGTGTCCCATGAGTCAATAATTCGGGCTTCCTGCGTAATGAGGTTCTGGTTGTTTGGAAAATAAAATAGAAGGGTAAGAGGCGGTGGGAGTCTATCTTGTGAACGTTTGTCTTCTTTTCAATGGATGGGCATTCTTCGGCACCAAATGAGGTAAGTGTCGATCAGTGGTAACAAAAGGCTTGGCATCTTGGTGTTATTTTTATATGGTTCGTGCAATTTGGCTGTAATTCGGTGAATAGAAGGACGACCGGGGTAACTGCCCTAGTAACGCGCACGCGCGACAGAATAAAAGGACGGAAGCAAGTTTTATGATTGGAATGTAAGAAGTAGCGGAAGCAGATCCCGGCCGGAAGCAGAGTAAAACGCGGTTGCGAAGAAGGGCGCACTGGGCGGGTGGCAACGAGGACCAGAAGGCCGATTCTACGACGACCACCATCATGATGAACACAAAGCACATGTTCAACGGCTGCGGCTTTTTGGCTTGGAGAGAAATGATTACGAACACCTAGCACAGCAAACTACTAACTTCCTTACATCCGCTCCGACAAGCCGGCTTTTTCTGTGAACAAACACCTTCTCGTTGCTTCGCCCCTTTCTATTACAACTCTTGACCCTTTCCTCACTCCCACCATCTCTCCTTTCTGTGTGCCAGCTTGCTCAGGCTTGCTCTCTTCCACTTTCTACCTCTAGCGTAGCTCTCCTACACGCCCAGCCGGCAGCTCCCACTCATTTCCTCACACGCTCGTTCAATACCCGTTCGTCAGCGTGCTTGCACCAACCGGACAACTTCACCAAACGAACCATACCCTGCCACGAGTAACAAACCGCTGAATTATTGACAAGATGCTCACCTCCGCTGCTTTGATTGCTGCGGTTGTGACTGCAGTGCCCGCGGCCGCCCATCTTGGTGAGCCGTCGCTGTGGATGGACGATACATGTTTGCTAACACATTTCAGCCCCATGGCATCCTTCGATGTGTAAGAATCTCATACATATACATATGGTCACGTGAAAGTGGCTCACTTGCGTCCAGATGGCTTCAACTGGACTCTGCACAATCCAGGTTGGGCAAACCCCGGCGCGTACGACAACCGTCCTGTTGTCCCCCTCATGGGGCGCACCTTCGACGACTGGTGGATGCATGGTCACATCGATCTCCCTCCGAATCCAGGTGACGTCCTTCAGGTTCCCGCTGGAGGCAAGTTCCTACTCCAGATGGCGTGCGATAAGGGTGCAACGGACTACTACGCGTCCAGTGATGGTGGCGATATCCGTGATGGCGACTGGCCGTGCCCGAACTCGACTTCCGACGGTGCGTGCAAGCTCCTCTTACCAGAGATATAGACACTGACATTCGGATCAGAATGGCACACGAAAGACATGACTGATATCAAAGGGTGCGGGATCGGTATCGCCTACAAGTCCGACATCACTCAGGTCACCCCGGAGGACATCACTATCTTCACCGTGAACGTCACCTGCCCATGGTACCGCTACCAATGGTTCGATGTGCCCGCCGACATGCCGCCATGCGACAACTGCATCTGCACGTTTAACTGGATCCACTCGCCCGATGACGGCAGTATGCAGATGTATCAGAATGCCTATGCCTGCCAGGTCACTAACAGTGGTCCTGGGAAGCAGCTGCAGACACCCCAGGTCGCCCGCAGGTGCGGCTACGACCCTACGACCGGCACACCGGCTGTTCCAAGCAACTGCACGGGCGGCGAGGCAGGAGGCGCGAAGCAGGGGTTGTACTGGCTTCAGGCTGATGGCAACAACGTGCGTCCCCCGTCCTATCCTTCTAATGCTTGGTCTGACCTCCTGGCAGATGTTTGAAGGCTACTACGATGCCCCGTATTACAATCCCGAATACGGTTTTTCAGACGGCGCGCAGACCGATATCTTCGTCTCTGACGGCGCCGCTTCGACGTCCTCCCTGTCGTCTGACAGCAGTTCTCCCACATCGACCGCCGCCGCCGATTCAGGTGCTACGACGAGTGCTGCTGCCCAGCCAACGGATACATCCGATCCCAGCAGCGGCTCGGCCTCCTCCGACTCTGGCGCTGCTAGCCCGACGTCAAGCACTAGCATGAGCTCGAGCACTGCCGACTCTGCTGCGCCCACCGTCACCCCTGCTGCAGGCGTGGCCGACGCGTCGAACCCAGGCGGCTCGTCTTGCCCCGCTCGCAAGCGCTCGGCGCTCAGTGGGAAGAAGCCTAAGAAGGCGAAAAAGGACGGGAAGAAGACGGGTTCTGGCAAGAGCAAGAAGCGCAACCATAATAAGAAGCGCGCGGCTGCGGCTGCTACTATCCACTAGACTTGCAGTCAGGCAAGGGCAGTGGGCGCCCCTGTCCTCCGGAAGGGCGGGCGCTCGCTGCTGGTTTTTCACTCACTCAACCGATATCCACTAGCGCCAGTCGCTGGTTCCGCATCTCGCATCTTCACCTATCGTTGGATTTTACACTCGGGCGAGTCCCATCTTCGCACTATAGCACAACGGAGCATATTATCTCCCCGCCCCCCGCACTGTCTGTCTTGTACGCGCACTATCTCCTGCTGGGTTCCGGGTTGGGTCGTCGTTTGGATGGGCTTGTTTGTGGGAGCATTTGGTGTTGTTTGTTATCCCTTTTGCAGGCTTTTGATGAATAACAATGTTGGTTCTTCACGGTACCCGGTATTAGAAGGTTTATCGTGTTATAAGGGATACGAAGATACTCCTTGAGCTTGCTTTGCTGTCACACCTGGTCAATCACAACCAGTACGATGGATTGTAGATCCGAACGCTGGTATATTATCACCAATCAAAGTACGTAAATTCCTTCCTTCATCAGGAACACGGCACATCCCGAAGTCGGGTTCCAAGTCCTGAAATATACACAAGCAGGAATACGGGCCCCCCATTGCCCAAGCTGGGGATATCCCGCCTCCCTTCCGCCTCTTCCGCACGTCCCGCAACGCCCTCTCGACGTTCCCCATGGAGGGCTGCTGGACGTTGTCAAGTAGGGAAGTAGGGCAAAAGGGCCGCTAAGATGGAAAACTTGGAAACCCTGCCAGGAATGATGCGCCAGATGGTGGTGGACGGGGCGCTGTCCCGGCAGCCCTGACAGGGGAGAGATAAGAGGAATTTCTCTCGGCGGCTTGCACTATCAGTCAACCTTTTGACCTTGCTATCACTGTTCTGTGCTTATCCACCATATCCCCATGACACAATTGGTAACATCTTCTCCCATCCAACCGCTCTCTCGAGCTTCTACAAGGTACTACACCACACATACGCATGCGACGTCCAAGTACCTTCTGCCTGCCGACGAGGAGGAGCATCATCGCCTAGGGAGGCAGAACGACCTGTTGAGGGCGCTGTTCGACGATGAACTCTTACCTTCTGATGTGCATCTGAGAGAGGGTGATAAGGTACTCGACTCGGGATGCGGACCAGGTACGTTAACTCCCATATCCACCAATTCGAAAGGAGAAACTCATGCGAGGGTTATCACACAGGTTTCTGGGCGCTTGACCTGGCAGCTGCGGTCCCCATCAACGTCGAGATCCACGGCTTCGACATCGAGCAACGCATGCTCCCCTCCCAACACCCTGCAAACACGATCTTTACCGTCCACAACATGCTCGACCTCTCTCAATCCTGGTCTCATACCTTTGCGGTCGCCCACCAGCGCCTGACGCTTTCTGCACTCGACTGGCCCGGGTGGCAGACGACGCTCAGGAACCTTTTCCGGGTGCTGAAGCCCGGAGGACATCTTATCATTGTTGATCAGGCACGGGCGAGCTGGCACCTCCCGGACGACGCACCGGTGGAGACGAACATCTCATACACGCATCGACTGGAAGTGCTCGTGGAGCGGCTGTTCGTGGCCAAGAACCTGCTGATAAACTGCGGAGAAAGGCTGCCGTTCTTGATCAAGGAAGCTGGGTTTGAGGACGTGGAGGTCGAGAGGAGGAGGGCGAGATTTGGCCCTGAGGAAGGGGAGGGATGGAGGGAGAATGCGCTCGGTGTAGCGAGGGGATTGAAGGGGCCCATCCTCAAGGCTGGTGGTGGGTATTTCTTACTACCTGATGGACCGATCTGACATCCCCCTCCCCAGGCTTCGGGCTGATGCACAGCGAGCAGGAGTGGGATAACCTTATGGCACATGTCGACGAGGAGTGGAAGGTGCACGCATTCGAGTGCGACTTCGTGAGGATCACAGCACGCAAACCAGAGCAAGTTGGATTTGATTTCGACATGAAGCCAAAGAGGGTGAACGAGGGCTTCCCTTAGACTGCTGTGAAGAGTTGTGATACCATCGTTGGGCAGTGCAGCAAAGAAGAAGATGTACTAATAGATTATCAAGTATCCCCGTTATCCTATCGCCTCTTGTACTCGCACGGCTTGAGCAGTCCCTCCGCCCTCTGGACGACCTCCTCCCACTCCTCCAAATCCTTGTCAACCTTCTCAAAAACAAACAGCATGAAGTGCGTATCCCCGTCATCCTTCTTCGTCATCCTGAACCCCACACTCTCTATGACCTGCACAAAATTCGACACATCTGTGAAGCGCGAGGTGACCTCGGCGACGAGCAGTTGCCCGTTGGCGACAAGCACCCTCCTCGCCTCTCTTACGCCGCATATCCAGTCTGTGCCCATAAGACTCAGGCAGCAGACACACGCATCCACGATTGCTCCGCTCTCCTCGCCCTCACTTCCAGGGAGAGGGATTCGCTCGCAAAAGTCCGCTTCCGTTACCCAATCATCCGGGTGGAGGTCGAAACTCAGCACCTTCCTCCCCTGAGGGACGAGTTTCTTAGCCAGCGTCCCCGGCCCCGACCCCAGATCGGCAATCAGCGCCGTCTTCGGCAGCTTCTGGAGCAGCACCGCGAGGGCGTCCAGCGGGGGAGTTGGCCACCCCACGAGCTGCGCTGCGAAGCCGGCATGATAGTCTTCATACAGGTTAGGCTGGGAGCGCATGAGCTCGTGCGCTGATGACGCGCTGGATGTGTAGAGCTGCTCGTTGATCCACCGGAAACGGGCGCCGGAGAGGGAGGCTTTCATCTTTGCTTGGAGGGGGGTGAGCTTGGAGTTTGTTCCTGCGACGGCGGCGGGTGCGGGAGGCCGCGGTGTGTGTGCAGGGACAGAGTGAGGGGCAAGAGTGGGAGGGAGAGCAGGCTCGGAGTGACGCGGTTTCTTCTTTTTCTCTGGCCTGGGAACCGAGTCTACAGACTTGGCAGGCCGTTCTTGTAGTTTGTGCAGGGGAACATCCGACGGTGACGTGGTACCGTTCTGCCGAGCTTTATGCTTCTGTTTGTTCTTGCCTTGTGCGTGAGTGGTATCGATGTAAACGTGGGATTTATCGGTTTTTTGGGATTGACGGATGTTCGGAGTTGACTTTTGGTTGGGTACGTCTTTTTGCCCCTTGCCCATCGGCGTATTCCGACCACCCTCTCCTCCTTTCTTGCCCATCCTCTCCTTCTCCCCCTCTCTTTCCCTCGTCTTTCCCTGATTCTTCTTATTTTCCCACTTCTCTTTCTTCTCCTGCTTATCCTTCGCCCCCTTCACGTCCTCTTCATGCATCTGCTTCATGAGCTTCTCGATATTCACCTCGACGCTCTTGAGGTTGATGTCGTCTTCTTTTGCTCCGCCTCCCGCATTCCGTTTCCTTTTCTTGCTACTTTGTGGATCTGCAACAACGGGTGCCAATGAAGATGACGAGGGGCCATCCCATGCAGTTGGGAAGAGGAGTGACATATCTGACAACAGAAAAGCAGTGAATGTAAACTAGAACAGAAAAATATGGACCCTTACCAACATTTAAGTGGCGATGCAGAAGCGCTCCTAGTTTGGTCATCCTCCCGACCGTTCACCGGCGCTCTCTCATCTCTGCTCCTCCTCATCGTCGTCGTCGTCGTCGTCGTCGTCCTACTCGTTGTCCTCGTCGCTGCACTATAATAATGTCCCCATCTCTCTTGGGGACAGCAGCACCAATCTGCCGAGCTCACTTAACGTCTTCACCCTCACCGTTAAGAGGAGTCCGACACCTTCGTCTACGAGCCCCAGCAACACCCTTCTTCGCCCGCTCCTTCCCCTCCCGCCTTCCGCTCTTTACTCCTAACGGCAGGGCGCTTCCCATCTCTCGAGCTCGTTTTGCCAGTTCGCACGGGTACGAAGATGCCTACCAGAGCAAGCTCAGGCAGATGCAAGCGTCGAAGAACCGGGGGTTGCTATTCTACACCACTGCAGCCGTGCGCCCTCCCCCGTCTCACACTCCGGATTCTCGCTGACCCTGGTATAGATCTTTGTCACCCTCGGAATTTCCTATGCCGCTGTACCGCTCTACCGCGCCTTTTGTAGCGCGACAGGCTTCGGTGGTGCGCCTATGACGAACACCAGGTATACGCCCGACAGGCTCGGACACGTCGACCCCAACCGGCGTATCAAAGTCCACTTCAATGCGGACACGAGCGACGCCCTCCCGTGGACGTTCACACCGCAGCAGAAATACGTGACGTTGTTACCGGGAGAGACGGCGTTAGCCTTCTATAAGGCGAAGAATGATGGGACGGAAGACATCATCGGGATCGCGACGTACAACGTCACCCCGTCCAAGGTGCGTCTCCGACTTCCGTCATGCCCTAGTCACACTGAACGAACGCGGTGAACAGATCGCACCCTACTTCGCCAAAGTAGAATGCTTCTGCTTCGAGGAGCAGAAGCTCGCAGCAGGGGAAGAAGTCGACATGCCCTTGTTCTTCTTTATCGACAAGGACTTTGTCGACGACCCCCAGATGAAGGACATTGACGATGTCGTGCTGTCATACACATTCTTCAAGTGAGTTTGCCCAGCCATTTTTTGGTTGCTGACCGGGACGTTGCTGACTACTTCTGATTGTAGGGCGCGAAGGACGAACAAGGGTCATTTGGTACCTGATGCTCCCCTGGAGGTGGTGGAGAAAGCATCAGGCTTTGCGGACTACGAGCTCGCCAAGCAAGCCCATGATGACACGAAGACGGCTGAGGCGACGGTTGCGTAATCCACGCTCCTCCTGGGTCGGGGGAGCCTTGTATTTGGGCAAACTGACATCAAATTTCAACTTGCACGTGTACAAAACATAGCATCACTCAATCAACATATTTCATTGAGCATGACCTAGGATTTGCTGGCCAGAGAGAGGAAGATAAACGAGTGTCCGTTTGTTATATCTACCGATTGAGGAAAGGGAAGAAAGGGGAAAAGACCAGTGCACGGAGAAGGGTTTCAACGATGGGCTGGGTATAAAATCATGAGGCGTCAAGGCGTTATCAACAATGGCATGGTGCGCCTGGCCCGCCACACCGCAGCTGGATTAAGAAAGGGGAGTGCGTGTATACCAGGGAAAAGATTGCTTGCAGAACGAGGAGGAAGAGAAGATAAAGCATGGTTACGACTGGTTATTTGGTGTGTTCGCCCCGCCAGACCTTGCGGGCGTGTTTTGGCCCGACAGTGGCCGACTGTGCGGCATGTCGGAAGCGGTCAGACTCGTGTTCCTATTTCTTACTTGAAGGTAGTCGGGAGTTGCGGCCTGCGACTGCGGTGTAGGCTGGGTAGTGAATGCTGGGCTGTTCATGCCCGACAGGTTGGACATGGTCGGCATACCGGACATGCCTTGCATCCCCATGGGACTCATACCGCCCATATTGCTCATGTTGCTCATGCTGCCCATCCCACCCATGGGACTCATTCCGCCCATCCCACTGCCGGGCATGCCCATCATGCCCATCATCTGGGGGGACATCATACCCATCATGCCCATCCCGGGCATCCCCATGCCTCCCATCCCGCTCATGTTACTCATGCTGCCCATACTTCCCATGCTGCCCATACTTCCCATGCCGCCCATTCCCCATTGATTCGGACTCATCATCGATGTGCTGGCGGTGCTCATTCTGTTAAGCGCAGCGTTGCTGCCGTTTACGTTGCCGTTCGGGCTTGGGACACCGGCGTCGGATGTGGTAGGGGACTGGGGCTGGCTGCCAACTTGCGAGTAAGCGATCATTGTTCGATTGTACGCGTCCATAGCTGCTTGCGCAGCGAGTTGCTGTTGCTGGGGGGTGATACTGGGTGCGCCGCCCCACGCACCGTACGGCATCATTCCACCCATGCCGCCCATACCACCATACATCATTGGGTTCATGCCATAACCACCCATCATCATCGGGTTGCCCATCATACCGCTCATCCCGGTCATCATCGGATGCAGCATGCCAGGCGTGGCCATGGGGTTGAATCCGCCAAAGCCCTGCGCACCACCATACATGTCGAACTGTCCGCCTTGACCCATTGCTTGTTCCGCTTGATCGAGCTGGGCCCGCTGGTACTCGTCCAGCCGTCTTTGGCGCTCCTCAGCCACACGCTTTTCCCGCTCTCGCTCGGTGAGGGTTGCACCCATGCCGCCTTCGCGGTTGCGCTCTCGCTCGTGCGCAGTGATGGCGCCGAGCAGGCCTGTCTGCGGCGGTGGCGGCTTGGAAGGAACGTTGATAAGCGATGCGCCTGTCTCGCGGGCAACCTCCTCCTGCCGTTTGGCAGAACGTTCGTGCTTCTCCTGGATACCGGCCTGCAGCAAACCGTGCGGGGTGAACGCCTTGGTCATAGTTTCGTTCGGTTCGAGCGAAATAAAAGTATTCCGAGCGCCGGTATTGGGGTTCACCATCGGCATAGCGTCGTCTCGCTCGAGGTTGGCAGTCCACAGCGACTGGCGGGCTGGCGCAGCCATTGTCGGCTGACTCTCGTACCTCTCTCTTGAGCGAGCTTGTGATTGTGATCGGGGTTCGTCAACGGCGGGGAAGGGGTATCCAGACGCACGCATGCGAGCTTGTTGTTGCTGCATTTGCTGCTGTTGCTGCTGCTGAATTTGCTGGTCGTATGCACTCGCACCTGCAAGATAATGTCCTTGGTCAACGGCGTCCTGGTCACCAGGGATAGGAGCACCCGTACCCGTAGCACGACCGGGAGACACTCCCCGCGGCGATATGGGCCCAGCACCCGGTCCAGCCAAGCTGTATGACGACTGTCTCACAGTAGGATCGGCAGGAAGCATATTCATACGTCCCTGCTGGGGTGGGGAAGGGGCTTCGATCTCGAATCGGTGCGAGGGGGTGTTGACCGGCTGAGGGAGGGGCGCATGTATCTGGCTCGTAGGGAGAGAGATGTCACGCGGTGGCGGACGAGCAGACGTTTGTCTTCCTCGAAGGGCGACCTCGTCGTCTGACGCATCGTCCTCCTCTTCATCCTCTTCTTCCTCGTCACTGCTCCTGTCCCATGTTCCCTTCGCCACCGCTGCCAACCGCTGACCTACCGACGGCCTGCCAGGCTTGTGCACCGCCTCGTCTCTCCTCTGCTGTTGTTCCTGTGCCTTTGCCTTACGCTCCGCTGCCTGCCTAGAGGGCGCAAACGAGCTGGGGAAGACGACAGCTTCCTCGTCTGGATGCTTCTGCGGTGTAGGCAGGGAGCGTGACGTGGTCGATGGACCAGACATCATGCGCTGTGGTGTTGGAGGCAGATGACGTGACTCGACACGTTCAGGTGGCTGACCCTGTGGCGAGCCATCCAGCTGCATATAGCTGAGTGCGGCGAGCGTATCATCGTCAAAGTCGCCGAGACCGTCGTGTGTAGACTGCTGATGAGGCAAAGGTGGTCTAGCCACTGCCATCGGAGCGGTTGCTTGCTGCGCTGGCACTTGATATCCTGATTGTACCGTCGTCGCCGCTGTTGAAGTAGCCACAAGTTGGTCAATAGGAATATTCGAGGTGGTCGCTGGCAGTTGAGGTGAAGATGAAGTGCTGCGACCCTGTCGAACGGGAAATGCCCTTGCGCCTGATGGTTTCGTTGCGTTTTGACTCCACGTGACTTCTCCACCGCCACTAGCACTCACTGGACTCGCTTCTCCGCCAGAAAGCCGGTCAAACGCAATGGGCGTTTGTTGTCTGCGAACATGAAGAGACTTGTCATGATGGAGATGCTCATGGGGTTCTTCCAGCGCAGCGGGAGTCACGGCAGCTTCAGTAGAAGGATATCGCGACGCCGGTGAGCGGGGCGAAATGTCGTGCGGGTTCGGAAGTGGCCCGACATACAGCGGCGGAAGGGTGATCAATGGGTGAGGCGCAGGTGCAACAAGCTCTAGCGACTCGCTCTGTATCGGTGAATCGCTGAAAGGCGTCTCCGCCGGGAACTCTGGCGGGGGCGGAAGCGGCCTTTGCTGAGCCGACGGCGCAGGTGGGACAGCCGTGCGCAAGTTAGTAGTCTGCAAAGAAGGCAACTTGTCCGGCGTCATCCTATGTTGCGGAATCGGTGATATACCAGAAAGGTGAGACGGCGAGAGGGCAGGTGCGATCGGCGGTGGGCTGAGCGGGCTGCGCGCAACTTTGGGAGACTCGACAGTAGGCGAGCGGACCTTGGGCGCCTGCGGTGGAGGAGTGGTGGACACGGGTTTGGGGGGTGCGAGGCCGGGGCTGATGGAGCGCAGGTCTTGTTCTTCCACGGTCAGGTTGGGCGAGGGGGAGGCAGGCAACGGCCGCAGACGGGGAGAAAGCATCGCTTGGCCTATAGCGACGGACGCATCAATGGGCTTGGAACCCTCGTCCGTCGGCGCTCGATCGCCATTACCGGCTATCAGCACTGGAGCAGCCATGGCCGCGACCGCAAATGGACTGGCGGCGCGAGTGGATCCAGAGAAACTACGTGGGGCTGCCAACGCGTACGGGCTGGGTGCGCGAGCCGCAGCAGCAGTAGGGTGCGGCGGGGCAGCATACGGGCTTGCTGCTCTGGCTGAAGTAGAAGCTGCAGTGACCGGCGCTGCTGGAGGGATATACGGACCCACCGCCCTAGCGGACGGGGAAGCTGGGATAACAGAGGCCGCGGGTGGGGCATACGAGCTCGCAGCACCGGCGGACGTAGAAGCTGGGATAGCCGGAACAGCTGGGGCAGACAACGGACTCGCCGCTCTAGCAGAAGTACCCACAAGAGCCGGGAGAGCAAACGGACTCCCAGAGCGCTGGGAATGCACTGACCGTGGACCAGAGTGCGTACTCTCGGCATACGGGCTCCCAGCGCGCACTTGTACTTCGGCATGAGCGACCGCGTACAGACTCTCTGGCTGGATGGGCGTCCCGAGTTGCTCCTCGACAGGCTGAGGGCTATCCGTCATCCTCATACCAGGCACGACGGTAGGCTCGCTCCTCGCACTCTCCCTGCCAACAAGCGGGATCGCGTGGATCGTATGATCCCCGCCTGACTCGTCCTCCCCATGCTCGTCCCGACTCGGAGGCTCGTAGTCCTCATCCACACTCTCCGCATCCGTAAACGCAGATCGGCGGGAAAGTGATGGGTCCCTCTCTGGGGCACTAAACGACCCGCGCATAGAGTTCTGCCGCGTCGTCTCCGTCTCCCCACCGTCGCCGCGTACTGTGCTCTGCTCAGTGATCTTTGTGAGCACGCTATGCGAGCGCCGCACAGCGGGGTTGTACGTCGTCGGCTGGGAACCAGCATGATCGAGCTGATCCAACGGCGAGGGGTAGCCATTATCGTACGTCGGGCTAAACTCGAGTGGTGGGAGCTCGGGGACCCCGCTAGTCGGGTGTGTAGGCAGAGAGGGTGCAGACTCTGCAGATTGGGAATTCGTATCTTCCTCGATCGTTTGCCCATGAACGGACGAGCCGGCATTAGGCGGCCCACGCATCCGCTCGAGAAGGATATCGAGCAGCCTTGCACGGACAGAAGAAGTCGAGTCGTCGTTCGGGTCAAGCGATTCAGCGAGCTCGCGATCCAGGAACAGGTGCTACGCCCACGTCAGCCAGATCTATCAAATCCATGTAATACGAGGAGCGCACATCACGCATAGGCCCTACGGGGTAGGAGAACATCATGCTCGTCTGATCCCTCGGATCCCAGGTATACCCCGCCGGCCGTCCATACAGTCCAAACGCGTCATGTATAGCTACACACGCCAAAGATCAGCAACATCCCCCCCGAATCCAATCTTACGCACCAACAAGCCATTTAAGCATATCCATCACCAAACTCGGTCTCTGCACGCCCGCATCCTCCCCCAGCTCAGGCTGGACGATACACCAACCTTCCCTGCCCGCCATCTTCCCCGCAAACCTCGGTTCCTCCTTGATCTTTCCCTTCTGGGGGGGCGAAGCAGAGACAGAATGATCGATCTCCTTCCCGAGCAGAGCCTCGATCTTGAACAGGTTCGATTTGGAGATCATCTCCGGCCGCTCGGGGTACAGCGCGAATGCCTGAGTGACATGTGTGAGCGTCAGCAGAGGATGCTTGGATTTCTTCCCCTGCGGCGGCTGGGCATGAAAGGCGATCATAGGCGGCGCCACGTCCTGGGAAGGCTTATGCTGATGATGCAGGTGGAAGAGGCCCGCACTCCCATGCCCACCATTCTGGCTACCGGAATTCGAGGACCGGAATATCCCCGACATGCGGCGTTTCGTCAGTACAGAAGGCGTGCGGTGCTGGGTTGGGGAATCTGCGCGCCCTGCACTAGGAGGGAGCTGGCCGTGCTGGTTGGCGCTGTGCGAGAGCCTGGACGACCCGGGGATATTGGGAGACTGAAGGGGGTCATACGCGGAGACGACGACGGCGTAGACGCGTTTCCAGTCTACCTGGCCTGCGAGGCGGATGCGCACCCAGCCCTCGAGCTTCCCCTTCGATAGCGCAGTTTTCGGCTGTTTGAACTCTACGCTCAGCCTGGTCAGAGGGAACCACAGTCGTCCTAGCGGGTGGGAAAACGTACCTCCGCTCGGAGTAGTCAAGCTCATACGTAACAGATGCCCGGTGTATATCTCCTCCAGCCTGCTCTTTTCCCACGTCGCGAGCCTGAGCGCCGCTGCCCAGCTGACGAGTGCCTGCCCGCTCGGAGCGCTGAAGAGGAGCAGGTTGGAGCCGGCAGTATTGAGCGTGAGGATGTTTGTTCGTTTGCTGGCTGGCTGAGAGACCGAGGGAGGGATTTCGATCGATCCTAGTACACCGATGAACTGCCGCTCTGGATCAGTAAGTCTGACAATGTGAGGGAAGAGGACGCACAGCATCAGTGACGTTCACATAGCTGGGAGGCACTTCGTCCCCCCTCTTACTAGCCTCCTCAATCGCCTTCATCTCCCAAACACTGAGCGTCGTCCCCCCCAATTGGGCCCAAACGTCAACCCACCCTTCCTGCCTATGCGGCGTGCGACCAGAGGGTTCCAGTTCCAAGCGGCGCGAGAGGGGCCCGGAGAAGTAGACCTTGTGTTGGTGCGCTATGGACAGGGAGATGCCGGATCGGAGTTCGGGGTGGAGGGAGGAGAGGGGCCCGCCTAGGGGAGGAGGGGTGAAATGCGCGCTGCTGGAAGAGGTGGAGACGTCCAGTGAACCGCGATCGCCTGGTGTTGGCTGCTGCTGCTGTTGGGGTAGCTGTGGTGGATCGAGTCGTTGTTGCTGCTGAGGCCCGGGACTCGTATGCACCTGCGACAACCTGGAGCTCGACTGCTCTTGCTGCCTCCTAGGGCTCTCCTGCACAGTAGGCAAATTCCCCACACCCGTTCCTTCCCCCGACCCAGGGGCAGGACCACCCAGCGGCAGGTCGACCATACTCCCCCTCCTCCTGTCCTCCTGCCTGAAGCTCCCAGCCGGTATGCTCCCATTTCCCTGAGATGCGCTCCCAGTACCTGCACTCCCGTGCCCGTGGTCCGATAGCGCCCCCGATGCCTGGAGGGAAGAGGAGACAGTGCGCTCAACAGCACTCCTCGGCTGAGCGCCCATCTGCTGCAACATCGGTTCCGAGCTGCTATTACTCAACCCCTGCCCCTGCATCTGCATCTGCGGCATCCTTGCATCCCCCGGTCCGGGATACCCCTGCACCTGCGGCCCTAGCTCGCTCAACCTCCTCGCCCTCCCCTCCAAAGGAGGGTTCACATTCCCGATATTCCTAATAGCGGCAAAGAACGAGTTCCTCGATTTCGGATGCTGCGGTTGGCCCTGTGCTTGTGCTTGCGGGCGAGGCATAGGCTGGGGAGGGGGTAAGTCGGGAGGACGGCGGAAGTCTCGTGTTGGAGGTGGGGCGAGTCGCTGTAGCTGTGCAGGGCCTACAAAGCCGTCGTTGCGTGTTGCCCAGCCTGACATGGGCGGGGAAGATAGTCCAATGACTAAGTGTGAGGTAGTGAGATAGTACTTGCTAGTGCTGGCTTGTAGAAGTTGATTAGAACAAGTCGAAGGACGTTGTGTTGTTAGGTGGTGCTGGCGAGAAGAATGTCCAATGCTTCTGGTGGTTAAGACCAGTGGAGTTAAGCAGTGTCGAGTCAAGGTGTGTACATACGGCCTTCCCTCAACAATAGTAATTGATATCCAAGTATTTCTTGTAGTGAATAGTTGGTAAGATACACCAAAAGAGAGTAAGTTGAGAGTAGAGAAGAGAGAGAAGAGCAAGAGAGAGTTGCATTGAAGAGTGAACCCTTTAATGCACACATTCAACATGGTGCACAGCCACATACATGACCACCCGCATTCCCGAAGCAGTTTCCGTTCATCGCTTTTCGACTCTTAGAGGGAAACGTCCTAATTTATCGGGGAAATGCCCTGGATACTGTGGTTGATGGACAGCAAGGGATTGGGAGTGTAAGGTATTTCCTTGTCTATCGGAGAAGTTACGTTGATGGTTGGATAAGGACAGCATTGACGTTGTTAGTGGTAGAACGGTGTCATCTGATTTACTTTAGTATATCACACTGTAGAGAGTAGCCATCACCGCACAACCTTTGACGCTGTTCTGTGTTCTGATATTGATGTATCCCATATGTCATATGGACAGTGTGCAATCAATGAATTGTCGGTCACTCCCACTAAGGCACGTGATTATACCCACTAGTCACGTGTCATTCTATTATTGCGTCACAGTCAATCAACCGCATCAAATAATTGAATCCTACATGAGTGATATCTACATCAACCAAGTACGACTATATCGTATTTGGCAGAGCGTCCACTTCCGCTCTCAACCTCTCCCACTCCCCACTCTCCCACTTCGCAATCCCACATTTCCCACATCCAATCCCACACATACCGATCACTTCCCCAAGAAAAGAGCTCGCAAAGATCGTCTCGCTCACCGGGTACCGATCCAGTTCCACACAAGCACGCCGCCGCCATTCCCCTACCCAGGATGGGAGGGTCCCGCAGCTAATACAGCGGAGGCCTTGCAGTGCCCCTGGGGCTTTGAGCAGGGTCTTAGCCTGCGATGCGCGTTGTACGCGGAGAGCGACGAGTTGGACCAAGTCGACCGCGAGCATGGACCCGAGTTTATCGGGTAATGGGAGGAGAAGCGCCATCAGGTCCACGCGGAGGGTCGCGCGGCTCGCGAGGCGGGCTTCTTCTTTCAGTCCGAACTGGCATGCGAGGGCGTACACCTGCAGGGGTTCTGCTTGCAGGAAGCGGGGTTCGCGCAGGACGCAAGCGAGCAGAGGGGGGAGCGAGGGCAGGTCGTATTTCTGCGCAGAGCGGAAGAGGGCTGGGAGGAGGTCGAGTGATGAGAAAGAGGGAGGGGGGACGGGGTAGAGCAGTGTTAGTAGGGGGATGAGCACGCTAGCTGGTTCTTGGAGGTCGATCTTCGGTATCTCCTCTTCCTCTGGTGACCCATCCTGTCGTACAGGCTGGGGGAGGGTGAACATCTCCCGGAAGAACTCGCTAGCCTCGATGAGGATCCGTCGGTGTACCCTGAGTTCTGCGGCTGGCCGGTCGGAGGAGAGGAGGATGATGTCGGCTGTGGGTTGTTGGAAGAGTGTTGGGATGGAGGGGGAGGAAGAGGGTCGAGAGCGAGAACGGCCATGTACTGGTGAGGAAGTCATCGGAGTGAGCAAAGTAGTAGGAGTAGGAGTAGGAGTACAAGTAGTAGCAGTCAGTAATTGTTGAAAAGAAAAAGGAGAAATAAAACGTGCAGACCACGTGTTCTGCATCGTTAAACATCACGTGCTCCACCCGATCAAGCCGATCACAGCCTTATGACTCTCTCTCTCTCCCTCTCGCTCCTCCTACACCACACTCATGTCCCTCTGCAGCACCTGTTCCTCCTCCCTCCCCCCATCCCCTCACATCCAACAACAACTCCACATCACCCCCTACTGCTCGAGGCCCATTTGTTCTACGTGCCTGGTGAGGAACCCGAGGTTGAGGACGTATGACCCGTGTTTGGGCTGTCTTGGGGGGGTGGGGGCGGTGAGTGGGAGAGGGAGGAGGGAGGAGGAGGTTTGGGTGCTGGGAGGGAGTGATGATGATGAAGAGGAGGAGGAAGAGGAAGAGGAAGAGGGGGAGGAAGAAGAGAAAGACAGTCAGTCAGAGAAGGATCGACAGTCGGAGGGAAAGGATAACGACCGCAAGCCGCAAGAACAGGACCTTCCAAAGGCCAACGATACGCCTAATCCACAGCGCGCACTCCCACCAAAGGACACCCCCACCCCAGAACCAGCGAACCCCGATACTCATGCCAGTACCGAACCTCTTCAGCCTCAGCGGCACCTGATCCTCCCTACCGATACCCTTCTAGGACTAGCGATCAAGTACCGGGTTGATGTGCGTGCCCCCTGCCTCCTTCCTGCACTCCTGCACTCGGATCACGCGCTGACGACCTGACAGGGACACGCGCTTTGCAGGCTTAACAACCTCCCCCCTTCCACGCTCCGTACGACCCCTCACCTGCTACACACACGCACTCACCTGCTTCTCCCTCCCACTATCTCCCCTCTCTCCCCTCTCTCCCATGCCCACCCTCATCCCCTTCTTTCCCCGAGCTCGAGCTCGGCGCTCGACACTCCAGAACGAAAACGCGAACGAGCGGTTAAACGTTTCCAGCTGGTGACGAAAGAAGTAGACTTGGACATCGCTAGGGCTTACGTGGGCTTGGAGGAGGACAGCGATGGGCGGAGTCTTGCGAGTTCGTTTGGTGAGAGAGAGGGGAAGGGCAAGGGGAGCGCGGATGCCGGGGGGAGGGCAGGAAGGGAGGGCAGGGAAGCGAGAGCTGTTGAGAGGTATGTGGATGACACGCTTTGGGAAAGGGAGGAGCGCGGGCAGGGGAGAGCTCTCAGGGGGGCGCCGTGGTTCGAGGACCGGGACCGGCGGGAAAGGGAGAGGGCAGAAGGGAGTGGGGGGTGGATGAGCTGGTTTAAGGGGGTGAAGGCTAAGGCTGGTTAGAGAGCTGGGGATAAGGGGCGGCGGGGGAGTTGTTCCCCTTGTTGGGAGGGGTTGATCTTGTCATGGATTTACGAGGATGTTGTACAATGTTATATATTATGGAATAGTGGGGAATTCAGCACTGATAATGTACATATCCGAAAGCGCTAGAATGAATTATTTCGCACCTAGAGACAGACGTCGAGAGACACAGGATGACATTGCAAGACTAGCATTACTCTGGTGACACAACAGAGCTCCACGGCGTCGTCTTCCAACCCCCCGGGAAAAAGAAACAAAGCGAGACACAGAGACATGACATGAGATCACAAAGCGAGCGTGCTGGAAGGGCTATGTACGGTGTTCGAGGGCATCAATATACGCGTGTGCGCGGTAATGTAGGAAACGTGGGTAGAACCGAACGGAGCAAGGGAACGAACGCAGATGCAGATAACGCAAGGGGACAGGACACAAGGGGCACAAGGGCTACGAGTACAGCCTCAGATAAGGGACGAAACGTGACGAAAAGAAAAGGAAAGAAAAGGAAAGGAAAGAAATGGAATGGGGGACAGACGGACTTCCCCGCTGGACCAAGGCGAATAAATATTAGAGAGGAGAGGGAGAGAGCAGGGCACGGAGGGATCAGTTCTTGCGTCGGGTGAACACTTTGTTCAACAGGGCGAGCACTTTGGGCACGTTTAACTGGACGTATTCCAGGTCGAGAAGGTTCTTGTTGTCTTTGTGCTGTTAAGCTCGTGAGTATACGAAGACCAGTGCGGAAGTTGGAACGCACCTTCTCGAGCAAGTCATCGATCTTGAGGTCCATCTCTAAGATCGCCTTCTCCCGGCCCTTGTAATGAAGGGCAATGATGAACGCGCCTGGAGACGGGCTCGTGATATTGAAATAGATGTTCGGTCTCCGAGCCTCGGGGACGTTGCTCTCAACGATAATGCCCTCCTTCTCCAGCTGAGCATGCGTGAACCGGTACGGTCCCTGGACGGTCGCCTTGGCCGGCTTCTTCTCCTTCCCACCTACGGTGATGACACCAACCCCAGTCGAACTCTTGTCGTTCCCCGAGCTCTTGCGCACATTCTGCAGGTACGCTTTGTACTGCTCGAGCTGTTGCTTGAGGTAGTCGTTGTGGTCGGAGATATTCCGGTAGACTGCGTCCAGCGACCGCGTCTCGAGCAAGACCTTGTCACGCAGGTTGCCAAGGTGGACGAGCTCAGCAGCGACTTCCTCCTGCATCAGCCGGTACCCATCCGCCCGGTCAAGGATATTGGCCTCGACAAGTTCGCGCAACATCTCCTTCACCTTGATCCCTTTACGCACCAGAGCGGCATCCTTCGTTGTCGCTGCTCGCTCCGCCAGAGCCTCTAGATCGATCGGGAGCTTGTCGTTCGAACCCGGGATAGACCGGATGAGGTTGACGAAGATAGACTTGGCCTCCATGTACAAGATATCGCTGTGTGTGACATTGCCCTCGCCAGCAAATGCCGTGGTCAGATCCTGGATCGGCACCTCCCATCGGCTGAACAACGGCAGCTCCATGGTGCGGTTCTCCTTTCGTGATACCTGATCCGGCGCCTGTCCAAGGTCCTCAAGCAGGATCCGCAGGTGCGCCTTTTCGCTTGGCGCCATTTGATCCAGGTGCTGTCCAAGGAGAGCGTGCGTATTGTACATCTCGTTGATAGTGATATTGATCTGCAGATCCTTCTTTGACAGCGCCATGTACTGATCCATCTGGAATAACGTCAGCATCAGGGCGATAAAGACGGTGCAAACAGCGTACTTCTAGCGTATCATAGAAGTCGCTGACTTCGCACAGATTGTTCAAGAACTGATTAATTCGAGTCTTGTTATTCTCCACGAAAGGATTGAGGGTGATCATATACTGCTCTTTGGCGTAGGACGGCTTGTTGGCAAGGTTCTGCAACATCTTTGCAATCAAGGTGAGCGTTCGTCTTGGGTGCTTGGCTGGTGTCGCATCAACAAGCATGTACGACTGAGGTGTGACGACGGCAGGATTGATGAATCGGAGGAAGAAGAAACCGCCAATCAACGAGCAGATCGCAGTGTCAGAGGCATCAGGGAATCGGCGCTGAATTGATGTCAGCACAAACTCGCTCTGCTTCAGTCATGAGCCATACCTTAGACAAGCTTTTAATCTGCTTGCAGATCCATCGAATACCATACGGCACGGTCTCCAAGCTGTCGATAATAGTGTGTAGGAAGCTGTTTGCGATCTCCATCAACATGGTCAGCCTTGGCGCAATGATTGCTTGCACATCCGGGTTCTCAGCCGCTTCCTCGGGCGTGACGACTTTCGCCATTCCCTCGGGTAGTTCGCCATTGTTTTCGTCCTCGAACTGGGACACCATCTGTTCATACACCTTAACCGGGTTGATCTCGAGGTTGAGCTCGCGATGCTCGATCAAACTGTTGATTCGCTCTGCCAATACACTCTTGAGGTAGCTTTGGCCGGGTCCACGGCGGGTATAGGTCGTCATCATTCGTGAGACGGGCGTGTTAGCGCGCAGGAGGTTACCGAAATCGGTGGACGTGTCGAACTGGTGGGACAATACAATCTGTGGGAATATGAGACAGGCAGTTATAATATAACCGAGACAAGACTCACTTGGAACATAGTAAGGAGGAGATGCTCTTCACGGCTCTCATACTGATTACCATAGAGTGTAAACATCACAGTTTGGAGTAAAGAGTCCACTTGGCTTAGGGATATCAGACGACATAGAAGGGCGATATGTCGAGGTTCGTGTTGTAAGAGGAAGAAAAGATTGGAGTAGAGCTAGACATCTGTTAGCATATACACTATATGTTTTTTTAAAGAAAGGACGTGCTGTTAATTTCCGCTCGTCGGGGTAATGACCCTCCTCTTCTTCGACGTCATCAAGGCGTGTTTCGATATCTCGTCGCTATGCATCCCATCAAATCAACAGAAACCCTTGGAGGAATACGAATATTGACTGACCTCCTCCAATGCCATTTTGTTCTGGATGAGTAACGAAATCCGCTGGTCTAAATACCGAACATCGCGTTCCAGCACGAAATTCTTCTTGGATACCGCAGAGATCCGACTTTTCAGTTCACGCAGGCGTTTTTGGGCTATGCACAATGAGTCAGATATAACTGTCCCATCTGCCGAAATAAAAGAACTGCGTACCTCGAGATAGGTCGTCCTCCAGCTCTGTATCTTGCTCGGCCGCCATACTGTACATCGCGCTCACGCTATAGCGATTCGCGTTCTTGCCAGTCATGCGCCTGCTCATGCTGCCAATAGGCGACGTCACGCCGTTGCCGTTCGAGTATCCTGCCATAGCGAAGAAAGGAGGAGGGAGGGAGAGGGAGACAAGGAGGGGGGATAGTTTGACGCGGTGCTAAGGGCCACGTCCTGGGAGGGGTGATGTCTGGTGTCAGGGAACGACGCGCTGTGTTCGCGCTATACAGTCGAATAGAATAGTCCCAGACTTTTGAAAAGGGGTAGAAGAAGAGAATGCTCGTTCGACGGTGTTTATGCGCTCGCCGTCGTCCGTGGTGGATAATTGGGATCGTCCGCCTGCAAAGGAAGTCCAAGCTTAGGAGAAATGGAAGTTGAGAATGTCCTATCGGAAGCAGACGACAGGGAAGGAGGAGGAGTGCGCCACTTCCCTTGCTGTCATGACACACGGACACGGATCGTTGTCTTTATTTCCTTTTCAGGCACAAATCTAGCTCAGATTTACTTCCGTACCACGCGTCCCCTTGACAACGGTTGTGATCGGTCATCTTCCTTTTGTCTTCCCTCCTCCACCCAACGCTCCTTAACACCGGACACCACCTTCCAACAGGTCGGCTACATAGTAACTTTTACAACGTTATTAACTCGCTCGCCGCTGTCAAAATAACTTTAATGTTGACAATGCAACACTTTACCAGTCTCATTTGGATCTGGCCTGCACTGTTTCATCCCTGGATCGGACATGTCACAACTGGTGGTCCGATCATCCACGCGACTCACACTACCAGCTTCGAGATGCGCGCTTGATTGGTCGTTCAGGCTGTCTCTGTTTATCCTCGTACCTGATTCTTGCGGTGTTCGTGCAGTGCTTCAGTCAGCTTGCGCATATCTTGACTTTCTTCACGTGTTTTCTGCTTGACACAACATGCTTTGGTAGACGAAACAACACAGCATTCCATTACTGCTGTGTCAATAATCCGATCGCCTCCAGCCACGCGCACCTCGAATGCTGTCCATAGTCCACCACCTCCGTCACAGTCGCATTTGTCTGCAAGACGATCCTCTGCTTCCCCCAGACTGTCCATTGACCCCACTCCGGCGTTCCGGGCAGTCGGTAAGTGTTCGGATCATAGCTTCTTATGAAGCTCGTCCAGTACGCTTGCATCATCGGCACGGCGGCCGCATTTACCCCACCTGGGAAGTAGGATGCGGGCGGCGTCCCGGCAACGACTCCGTACGGACCCCAGATTAGGTTCTCCGGTCCCCAGATGGCAACCAGCTCGATGGTATGCGGTACGCCTAAACCCTGCGACATCTGAATCGGGTCCATCACGTTGTACCTTTCACCAAGTCCTATCAGCGACAACAGCATCTTGGGCGTAGGATGGGAGATAGGGAGCTTCGAAACGACGTACCTGTATACCCAAGATCCAGCGTCCCCATACACGCTCAAGGCACTCCCCACTGCCATACTACCACACATGATCCTCATCTCACCATTCGCGTTTGCTATTGTTCTCCACAGCCCGCCCGAGTCGGGATAAATATCCGCAGGAGGATAGAGCGAGTTCATCGTCTCCAGCTGGCTGGGAGTCAAGGCGTTCCACTGCTCGAGCATGAACTCGTCCATCTCCGCATAGGTGGATGTATTGTGCGGCGTGAAAACTGTGCCGCCATTCGTGTCGTCGCTACTCAACCTTCAGCCCCGAACCAGAGCAGTCGAACCGCGCTCACCCGAATATGATGGGGATCTTGACAAAGTTTTCCTGTTGGAGAAGCTTATATGTATAATCGGTTATGAAGTCCCCATCGAGAGTCGGCTGATACATATATATCGGTGCGTTTGCTCCAGCTCCGATGTTTGAATACGGGATATTAATGTTGTTCTCTTGCAGGAACGACGCGTTCAGTCCTCTCAAACATCCAAGCGTGTCCTGCACCTTGTCGTACCCGCATCCAACGCGCTCAATGACCGTGTCGTATTGGTACTGCGATTGGGAGACGTTGAGCATGTTCCCGAACGTGGCGGATTCGGCTATTCCAGCTTGAAAGAGCCCGTCATCGCGCCCTCCATATGCCATCATGTGCAGAAGGATCGAGGCCGATCCAGCGCTGTCCCCACCCAGTACGACGTGAGATGGATCACCCCCAAACTGACATGGACATCAGCATCCCATGAAGCACTCGTGATGCCGACACATACGAGACAGATATATTGTTGAACCCACTCCATCACCATCCTCTGGTCGAGCAAGCCTACGTTCGTACTTCCATTGTCAACGATCTCCTGGCTTGCCAAGAACGCATACAACCCAACACGATAGTTGAAACTGACAACAACTATATTCGTCTCCGATGCCTGGATCAAGCCCGTCGCATTGTAGTTGGCACTGGAAAGGACGTTAAAACCACCGCCCTGGATGAATAGGTAGACGGGAAGCTTGGATTCGGTCGTTGTTGTGCTCGGTGCCCAGACTTCGAGATACAGGCAGTCCTCGGAAGCGCCAGTGTTGTTCGTGCCCGGTGTGGGGAGACAGATGGGACCATGCTACAGCATGTATAAGCATCACCGGTGAGTGTACTGCAATATCACCAACAGTATCAGCATCAATAAACGTATTGTTCTGTATAGGAGCTGTCGGGGCCCTCCAGCGGAGTTCTCCCAAGGGAGGGGCGGCATAGCGGATCCCAAGCCATTCGGTCACGCCTGTTTCTCGAGTGACACCGCGATATTGGCTATAGCCGAGATTGACAAGAGGGTCGACTGCGTCCACCAGAGGCAGAATAGCGATCGATAGTAACAACGATGAGAGCCTGGTCAGCATGTTCTTCCCAATGGAGTCTGTTCTGCTCGAAGGAAGCTTCCAACGCTCACGCCGAGCACTTGTACACGATTGCTCTCATGGGGAACCGTCCTTCCCCTGGGGCGACGTATTACTCGGTCGTGTGGAGGACATTACACTCATTGGCTCATACGAGTTCATTTATATCGACAGTCGAAGGTCCCCTGGGAGATTCACGACGAGATTTCTCTGGAGAGCGCTCGAAGTATGCCGCATACACCGATAGCAAGCAGAAGAGCGTGCTGACGTGTCTTCATGGCGACTAGTGGAGGACCTCAGAAGAACTTACACGGACTGCGTGGAGGAGTGCACCATGTCCTTCGCAACCAAATACTGACCAAATACCGACTTGAAAGGGGAACTTGGCATTCCTAAGGCTCATAATCCCTTCTTCGAACCGGTGGTGTTTGCGTGGCACGATTCAATGTGGATTAGAACCATATGGAGTGGTCACGACTATCTACGAACTCATCCGAAAACGGCTCATTGTCGGCAGATGACTTGCGCCGATGTGCTATATTGGAGCACCGGGACGCTGACTTTTCAAGACAGGTGCCCGATCTGGCATATGCAGCGAATAGAGGAAGGGAGATACAGGATATCCTGTGTATCTTGACTTATTCCAATCAGAGGCTCAAAGGAGATGCGGGGCTGGCTTTTGTATACAGTACTCCACATCAGGTCACACGCGACACTTTCAGCCCACAAGAGCAACCTGCAAAGTCCAGGCATTTATTGTCCTTGTCCCTATTATATTCCAGAATTGTTGTGCTCCTCATCCTTGCTGCATTCCTCATGGGCCTCCACATCCTGCATCCCCTGCATGGAGCCTTCCATGTTGCGAGGCAAGATGATGTCTTGCTGAACTTGCTCCCAAAGGCAAGATACACATCCCTCTGCTTGTCAGTAATCCATCCATTGTGCCAGGCACATTCAATGGTGCCATGGTTCCTGGCCCAGGCAAGGCAGCACAAGGGATGGCAAATCTCCAGGTCATGAAGAGGGTGCCTGTGCACACTGTGGACAAAACATTCTGTCCTGAGGCCAGTTTGATACACATATGCTTGAAGTTTGGATCCACCTGAAGGCAGTTTTGCTTTGGTCATGGTTGATAGGGTCAGAGTCACAGGCTTGGATAACTTCTGGGGTTGTCCCTGCAGGGTCTTTGCCCTCCTTCATACCCTTTGTAGGCTCCAGGGAGGCATCCTCCTGGCTTGAGCTCCTGCCTTCTACCAGGCCTACTGTCAGGGGACTCCAAGTTTCAACTGCACATTCAGAACATTCAAGCTTGATTTGATCCACTCAGTGACTCATGGACTTTGACAACACAGGCTAGGGTCTCCACACTGAGCCAGCTCCAAACACCTGACACAAGGACCAATGGATGCTGACTTACATGAATCAGTAAAGCTGGCCCTAATTGAGGTAAATTTTTGATTATTCTTCCATGTGCACAAACCATGCCCTATGAGTATATAAGCAGTAGTAGGGTAGTACTACTCTCCTTTTCTGAGGAATCTCCACAGTCTTGTAGAGATAGGCCTAGTCATCTCATCTCATCAAAATTCTCCCCGAACTCTACTGATTTCTGCTTTCCTGTCCAAATCCTCTCGAGTCTACTCCAATATCCACCAATACCCCTGTTGATATAGGGTGTTTGGTCTTACTGTTGAGCTCATCATCTTGTTGGGTTATAGTTGGCAGCCTTGCTTGACTGTGTGCCCTCACACCTGCACTGCTGAGAGGCAAATCTGAAACATCAAGGTGTGGAGCTTGTGCAACCTCTGCTGTGCTCCTACCATCAGTGCAGCTGGGCATGGAGCCATCATTGCCTTCTGCAGTTGCTATCAATGCCCACAGGTTACTTTTTAACCACCCATCTCTTGCTGCTGATCAGGATGAATGCTACTGCTGCTGCACAGTTCACTCCTTTGCAAGGGCATCTCTGTACTTCCCCCAAAATTTGCAAATTTTGGACCATGTCCAGGGCAGGCTAAGGAGAATGGAGTTGAGGACCAGAGTCTTCCACTAATCTGCCTTCTCATCATAGATGACACAGATGTCATGCTGTTCAAGGAGCATTTCTGCTGCATTGTTGATCAAGAGGCAGTTGGAGGGAATGTTGGGAGACTCCACATTGTACACCAGAGCCCTTGGCCCAAATTCATGGGGCAGGAGGTATGCCAGGGTAATTGCTTGATGTGACACTTTGATACCAGATATTATATGTCTCATCTCATTGGGGAGCCATGGAGGAATGGCCATGTTGTCAGAATTAGTTATGGCAGCAACACTATCCACCAATGGATTTGTGGAATATTGCAATGTTGTCAGGGTTCACCCAGTTTCAGTGCAAGTTCAATATAATCAACACTGAAAAAGCTCACTTTGGCCTCAGTCTAGCCTCCTGAATCTGTCAACCCTGAAGCAAAACCACTTGATTACTTCAAAGCATCACCCTAAACAATGGTAAACTGTATAGTCCCACAGCTACTCTTTTTTAATCCCATTATATTTCCATTTTCCTACATATATATATACCAGCTCTGGGAGCCTTATGCCCCTTAGCGCTGATCTCTTAGGAATTCCACTGTCATATAGTGATGAATCTAGTTTGAACTCTCATTGAACCTCTCTGACTCTTCAATTGGTAGACTTTGACCCCCTCAGACTGTTTGGGACTAAACTATACCTCTGTTGTGACTAAAGGCATTTTGGGCTAATTTGTTATATCAGCCCTACTGCCAACCACAACTCAAGCTTGTGTGCTCTCCCTGCTTCTTGATTCTATTGGGCTCCTGATTTGAGGATACTTTTGATATCTGGCAGTGTGCCCTAACAAATGTTCTCTATTTTAGCATTGGAGATCACAGGAATGTGACACCTTGGGGTCAGCAGGTACTCCATAAAGATCCACAGACTCCATAAGAGTGTCTTGCTGTCTTTGCATCACCTCTAGTTGAATGACAACATGAATCTGGAACTTTGTCATTTTGGTGTCTTTATCCTGGTCTTAGCTATCCATGTTCTCTTGCAAATCACCAAGTGCCTTCTTTGTGTCCTCTTGCAAATTGCCAAGTTTATATCATTCTGATACATCTTAAACTCTTGCTTCATCTCCTGAAGTAACCTGATGATATTATACAAATCAGAAGGTGTGTCTTCATCTATGTTTATGGTGGGGGTTCACTCAGTGAGAATGTGAAAGGGCTTACTATGCCCTTACACCCTCAATACATACATGGATCAAATGTATTACTATCTAGTAGCCATACATTACATGTAGTAAAAGGAGAGAGAGAAGGGTGGCCTACAGCCACCCACTATGTGTCAGTCCAATGGATGATTATGATCGCCTCACAGAGGTGATCCTACCTAAAAAGGTAAGTATGGGGACATATACGGACCCTTACACCCCCCCCCTGTCAAAGAGGAAGGGGTATACATACTAACACCTGTGGTCATAGCCATTGCCATCACCATAGTTGAGGAGGGTATCATCCTTGATGGCTGCATCCACATGAGAGGGACCAGCAGCAGGAACGGTATGGTTGTCAGACCATTTCAAGCCTCTGGGTTTGAGACCCAATGGTGGAAGGCCCTCCACAGGAGGGGGACCTATGGCGGACTGGAAGACTTCCATCCATAGGGATTGGCTGCATTGGTCTACAAGACTGAGAGTGCAGATGCCATTCTTGTTGAGAATGTTATCATGGTATATGTGACCAAGTTCTGCCTTCCATTGTCTATGACCAAAGTAACCAACCAGTGCATCAATTTTTGATCCATCAAGCCCACTGGTGATGAATTCTTTGGCAACCCCAATGGGGCTCCAAATGCATACACTGTCTGCATTAAGGGAGACAGCTTTGTGGAAGCAAGTGGTCATAGACCAATGAGGAATGGCAGATCAACTGAGCTGATGCTCATCAACAAACTTATTGAATTCAAACTTAGTTCAAAAGAGATTCATAGCAATCTCATAGAAGGCAGCAGGGTTGCCCTTTTGCCAGCCTTTAACATCCACATGCAGACAGTTATCATGGAGCCAGGTCCACACATTAAGGTCGGGGATGTAGTATCTCCTGTCCATAGAGCGCCTAATGCTAGGCCCCTTATTGAGGTGAGGGTTCACCTCCTTCCCCTCCTGCTCCACCATCTTCATGAACCAGGACCAGAGGTTACCCATTTGAGGAGTGTGGGCCCAGTGGGCATCAGCAGTCTCCATCAAGACCTGCCAGCAAGGAAGATCTGTATTCCGGATTGTGGTCAATTGCTTGGCTGTGATGATTCCCTGCCTGTCAGGGCACCAGCTCATTGCTTGGTCAAGAGACATGACTAAGCCTTTATGACATGGAAGTAGCTGGTATACCTTGGCATGTGCTGGAACCTGCTGGAAGGATTGGATGGTCAGGTGACCTGTTGTGCATGGCTGTGCATGACCTCATATGACCTCATCCTTGGTCATATGACCTGATCACCTGACTAGGCTGAGTAAGCAAGATGTTCTAGCAGGTTCCACCACAGAGGTATAAATATAAGGCCTACTCTGCCTGGGGACTGTCTCTTCAGACTTGGTCTCTTAGGATCATCTACAGGTACCTATACTGTAGATAGGTCTTAGTCATCAGGTCTACTCCACTTCCTTGTTGCCTGCTTAGACTCTTGGCACTCTTAGGTGAGCAGACTTAGTCAGCCTGTGTTGCCCTAACACACACCAAGTCACATACATTCTGCTGCAAAATATATCTTGATGGCCATCATGCTGGTAGCAGACTGTGGTGCCATAAACATCCAGGTCACACTTATTGAGCCAGAAAAAGAATCAGCCCCACTGAGACAGTTCTATATCAATTCATACCTATGATAATGACTGGTGTGTAAGAAATTATATCACTGTGTTCATCACTCATGGAGATGTTGTGAATCAGATGATGAGAGCACTTTCAATTCAGGATGAAAAGACACTCAAGTTCACTGAA